GCCGCATTTCTGGAGAGTCTCATACTTCAGGCAGGAAAGGCCGACAGGTCAATATTGTCAAGCTGTTCTGTCTGAGAGTAACTATAACAAATTTCCTCTGTCAAAAAGTGTCGCCCACCACATAGGCGTCTAATCTCTGAACTCACCATGCTACCAACATTGACATACCAAAAGCTGCATAAATAAATAAAGGTTGAATAGATTACGGCAGGACATGATAGGGTTATATACGCACTCATTTATCGAATTTTTTTGTGTTCATTTCCCATAAATATTGTCCATAGCATCGATGTGAATAGTGTGGTTTCAACAAGATGGCGCAAGCCATATAGTCGGTGAAACAACATAAGTGTATTCTCTCGTTTTGGTTCAGGGTGATTTAACACCATTGTATATTTCCTTCTTTTTATGGGGTTATTTCGTCTGTTAGAAAAGTAACTCTATGAAACAAAACTGTGTTCTGTATTCAGTTTGCATCGTGCATAAATTTTGTGCTGCGTAATTCTTCTGTTTGCGACGGATGAAAATGAAGTCGTACTCCTTGTAATGCACCCTATAATATCGAGAAGCAATTTTCTACCATCTGTGCTTCATTTTATGTAAGCGTATTGAAATTTACGTGATTATTTTAACGCAAGAGATGCGGAAAATATCAATACCAAATGAAGCCTTATTCACGTGTAATCAGGACTCTTCAACATGATGGAAGTTGAGCTAGGGGGACTGGAAATCGCGCAGTTATATAACGGATTTTTCAAGTGACTTTTTATAATTTATTTACTTATTATATTAAAAATTAATTAAATCATTTATAATTAAATTAAAATATCTGTAAGAAAATGATGCGGAAAAAGTAGAATGAGCTGCAACCTTCCAAATGTTCCATTAGTAGCGACTTACTTTATATTGATATTGTATAAACCCCACGTGTCTTTGATATGGGAGCTTTGGATGCAAGATAATCTGCCGATTTGGATAATAGGTTTGGCTGTACGAATGGGTAGAAAATTGAAAAAAATATATTCTAGGGCGTTAGACATTTAGAGGAGATGTTAAGTGAAACCAATGAAGCTTCTTTCCGAAAGACTAACGTGATGTGTGTACATGGCGAATTTTGTTATTCTAACAATCCCCCCTCCGTAGGTTCCCAGCACCAACAAGGGGCGTTAGCGCCCATTTTGAGTAAAACTGCTGTGTTTCATAAATGTTGACTGTTCTGGATTTGTACTGTGGAATCTGGAATGAACGCCACTGACCTGATATCAAAAATAGAAAATTAAAAGCGCAAATGCGTGTATATGCTGCACGTCCACCTTGTGCATCAACCGCCACTGTTTACATCTGTTAACGCGTTTTACTTTGATGCTTTTTTAACCCAAATCGGAGTTGTCAGTGAAATGTTATCAGGTCGTTTATCCTCATAGTCCGGTTATTATGAGCTCGAAACCTGTAAACATTTATTACAATTGGAGAAAACGCGCAGAATGAGACCCCATTTTGTTATGGATTTAAAAAAGCATGAAAGTCGATAAAAATGCGTTTTAAATGCTTGTGCCATGTACTTTATAATGTTAAGCATTATTTACTTTGCAAACTTAATAATTGAAATTGATAATTATTAAAAAATGAATATACCTGATTTGAAAAAAGGTACTAAAACCGGACCATTCTTAAAAATCTAATAAGATTTCATTCTTATAATATACCGAATACATTTAAAACAGATACATAGTTTTTAATCCGGTTTAATACCGAATACATTTAAAACAGATACATAGTTTTTAATCCGGTAGTAACAAAAACTTCAAACGCATACTTCTTTTTCGGCTCCCTGTCTTCTTCCCATCATCGTATTCAGAAAAGCTCAATGCTCATCTATTAATTTGCCATTATCCTTTTCGAAACTGAAAATGGATTTCAAAAGAATAGACTATTATATATACTTACTATAATACACTTGCTTACGCAAAAAAATTCAAAATATCTAAATGAGCAAATTACATGAGATAAACGATCCTAAGATCTTGGCATTTAAAAAATTCTTCATTTCTTACATGCACCGTGCCAGCATGTACAGTTGCTAATCTAAACTTCGCGAGAAATTTGTATGTATATTCGTATAACATAAGGCTACCAAGTCTAGAAAATAATCTTTTATACGGAAATATCTTGAGGACTTCTGCTAAACCTGTCACTGCCACTGGCCGTTAAAATTTGTACCCGAGGAAGATTAGTCTTTGAGTTGTATCTTAGCTTTGAAGATCAGGGTAGAGTTGTATGATTTGAACACACCAACTGACAAACGACCCCAGCAGACTAACTAAATAACAAAATGCAACAAGCTGCCAAGATTCTGGCTTTAAGAAAAGCTCATACTTGTAGTAGGAAAATCTTACGGAGAATTTCCAAACATGTTTTTTTTCTTGCTTCTGTATATAAATGATTTCCCCCGGCATAAGGAGCTTCGTTCTCAGGATACTCGATTCCCCTTCAACCGTTCTCTGAAGTATCTCACCTGACTTAAAGCCGCCTTATATGTCACTCAATACGTCTATTTTTCGTGGGATGAATTTCCTAATTCCCTTCATCCCTGATACATATTTTCCATATGCGCATTTCAGAAAAATATTCCCTCTCTGTTCGAAATCAATTTATGCAGAGTTCCTCTCAAATGTTAGTAGGGTTGCGGTGTTTCTATTATCATTTTGCAAATCCCCATAGAAACTGAGGACACATCAGACGTAATAACAAGACAACAAATAACATCTAATCATCTATATAGTGACATTCAAAATACTCGTATCGCCAAGAGATACACAGATAATGGATCTGTAGACAGAGTCGTATTAAGAGGGGGGAACTCTGTGGTCGTAGTTTGTTGTAGTTTTTTATGCTGGTTCATACTTTGCTAACAACGCATAGAATAAAAGTATTCTTTATTGTCGAAATGTGCAGTCAGTGAAATATTTGAAAGTGATTTGTCACCAGTGTATGGTGCAAATAGGTCTGAATACAGTTCTGAGTTTCTACAAAGTCATTATTATCAAAACGTGCTGAAATATCATGGGTAGTGGTGCAGCAGATCCATATAACCTCCTCACTTTGGACAATGCCTTCACGAGACTCGGTATGATGTTTTGTTCACACGAGGCATCATTTCCGATATGCTTCTCCTCTAAGCGCTAAACTCTGTCTAATGTATTAAGGGATAACCGGCTATAAAATGACACCCCTTTTTATCTTCTTTGCATGAAATTCTAGGAAAAAGATATAAACTAAAGTTGTAAGTTTTTCGTATTCAGGGTGCCTCAGAATAAAATTGCATCATTTTAAATGGAACGCCCCTGCTTTTCTTTAGTGTAAATGATAGTATCTAGCGATTTAATGTCTGGAAAACCCAAAAATCAGTGCTTAAAAACCAACTTCAGGTCGACAAGTATCTAAATTAAAGTTAAAACTTTGCTCTATCAGACTTCGAACAGTATGTCAATATTAGTTTATATTGAAGTGAATTTAAGCTTTTTTATTATGCCAAAATTGGCGAACTTTTGATTTTCCTAAACTGTGTCTGTATGGGTGAATAGGCTGTTGTCCGTATTACGCAGGCGTTCCTAGTATATAAACGTTTTGTCTTTTAGAAAATAGGTTACGTCTGGCCGCTCTGGGATCTGTCTCTAATAAGTTTCAGCACTTTTCAACAGCTGCTTTACTTCCTACGCCTTACATTGTAATCGAGAAAATTTTCGAAAATGAGATAGTATTTTTTTGGAAGTTATATGACATGTACATCACGAAAAACCATGTCACTCATTTCCGTCAGTCTGTCTGTCTGTATGTCGGTCTATCCGCTAATCTTATAACCGCCTATAACTTGAGAAGTGTCTCTCGAATTTCGATGAAATTTTTACACAATGTTACTACCATGCCAAGGATGCAAAAGCTTTTTAGATTTTGAAAATCGGTCCAGTGTAGGCCTAAAATGAAAAAAAATCGCTCAAACTTCTTCTTTGACGATTCAGATGATCCTGATCATTTTTGAAAAAAATTTTAGGGGTTTAAAAACTTGGGGGTGGTTTAACATAAATTTCTCTCAAAAACTCAAAAATATTATATAGAATATATAAAGATTCTTGGGAGACAGATTTCTTACCTATCGGCCGCAGCTGCTGTTGTCGGGCGCAGCAGGATAGTGTTTTCTATGCTCTGGCCACGCTATCGCGGTGACACATCTCCGGAGTTAGGAATCGGGGAGAGGCGACGTTTCGAGATGCTCTACGGTTAGGGCAGGGAAAGAATGTGTATGGACTAATTGTATGGACCTGTTTGACTGACTTTTTCCTCAAAGAGTCGATCTTGTGCTGAAGTGGAAAGTACAGAGTCAACCTATTTGACGCCATTTTTCGCTATTTCAGTTAGGATTAGATGCACTATACCCAGCTGGGTGGTATTAAATATGCTACGTCTGAACTAACGGGATCGATATTAATCACCCCGTAAAAATTTCGTATGTTTACAGAATGAATAAACGTATACTCTCACTCACGAGGTCGTAATATTTTCATAGAGCAGGCAATAATTTTTCAGCATCGATTCGAACGCGTCGCAGCTTATAGCTTATCTCGAGTGAGTCAATCCGAGAAAAACCGCGTCTCTGATACGACGGCGTTCACTTCAGATAAGAAGCAATCCGCGAAACGGGAATTTTTACGACACTGCAAAGGTGTATGCGACGAACGCGTTAAGTCGTTTCTGTTGTGCGGTTCCCACGTATGGCAGTGACTCGAAAAGATGAGAAAGAAATTGCTTAGACGGTTATCCTCTCTGTTGTTGACCGGACATGACGTAAGTTTTCTTCACTTTCGTTGTGCGCATCACAGATGCAAAAACTGCAAAGCTTTACGTTTCATTCTTTTCGCTGTTGGTTATATTCTCATATGAAGTATTCAACAAACTGCATAAACATTTATTAGTTCTGATTTGCAAAGGTATATGCGACGAACGCGTCAAGTCGTTTCTGTTGTGCGGTTCCCACGTATGGCAGTGACTCGAAAAGATGAGAAAGAAATTGCTTAGACGGTTATCCTCTCTGTTGTTGACCGGACATGACGTAAGTTTTCTTCACTTTCGTTGTGCGCATCACAGATGCAAAAACTGTGAAGCTTTACGTTTCATTCTTTTCGCTGGGCAAAAATTTAAGGGATTATTCTTTCAACAATTTAATTACTATTTTTTCTATTACGCTTTTTGAAACAATAACTTCTCATGTTCGGTTTGTAACTGTATAAAAACTATTCAACTTAGTTATGTTGAGAATCTATGTTGCCATTGCCTTTATTCCTCTGGCCTGAAAAGCACTGACCAAAAGGTTAGTACACTCTCAGTCCAAATGTATGTACGGGGTGTAGCAGAATCCTACAAAGGCCAAGCTGTAAATATAACGGGTGATTTTTTAAGAGGTATAGGATTTGATTTTCAAAAAAAAAACACAAAAAATTCGAAAAAACGATTAAATCTTTATTTGAGTCGATAAAACAGTCGATATAATTTGATGTTTAAAAGATTATTTCATGTAAATGTTGGCCGCGGCTCCGCTTTAGATGGTCCATGCGCAAGGTCCAATTTTGGCACACTCTCTCCAACATATCGGCCGGTATCTCACGAATAAATGCTTCAATATTGGCTTCCAGTGCGTCAATCGTTGCTGGTTTATCCCTGTAGACATTAGCCTTAACATGGCCCCACAAGAAATAGTCCAACGACGTTAAATCACACGATCTAGGCGGCCAATTGACGGGCCCCAAACGTGAGATAAACTGTTCACCGAACTCGCCTCTCAATAGGGCCATTGTTTCGTGTGCGGTGTGGCATGTGGTACCGTCTTGTTGAAACCACATGTCAGCCAAGTCCAGCTCTTCCATTTTGGGCAAAAAAAAGTTTGTTATCATCGCACTGTAGCGCTCGCCATTCAAAGTTACGTTCCGGCCATTGTCTTTGAAGAAGAACGGCCCGATGATGCCACCGGCCCATAATCTACACCAAACAGTGATTTTTTCGGGATGCATTGGTAGCTCTTGCAATGCTTCTGGCTGGTCTTCACTCCAGTTGCGGTAATTTTGCTTGTTAACCTACCCATTCAACCAGAAATGAGCTTCGTCGCTGAACACAATTTTTCGATAAAAATGTGGATCTTCCTCTAACTTTGCCAGCGCCCATTCACCAAATTGGAAACGTTGTGGGAGGTCGTGTGGCTTCAATTCTTGCAGCTGTATCTTATAAAGTTTTACACCCAAATCCTGTTGCAAAATTTTCCACGTAGTGGAGTAACAGAAGCCCAATTGCTGCGAACGGCGGCGAATCGACATTTCACGGTCATCACTAACACTGGCGGATACAGCCGCAATATTTTCTTCAGTCCTCACTCTACGTCTGCGTGTTGGTGGTTTAATGTCCAATAATGTAAACTGGGTTCGAAATTTAGTCACAAGCTTCCGAATAGCTCCCTCAGTAGGCCGACCAAATTGCCCATAAATTGGAAGCAGTGCTCGATGCACTCTCTTAACCGAGCATGAATTTTGATAGTCAATAATTTGCAAGCGTTGTTCGTTCGTAATTCGATTCATGGTTAAATTATAGACCAAACTGAACAAGTTTGACAATGACACAAGACACGATTCACTCACATCAGTCAAAAACAGTGTTGCCAAAAAGATACTAGCAAAAAAATCATCCAATATAAAAAAAATCGTGGGTAACGGAATTTCACACGTTTCTACAAGGTGACCGATATATAACTGACTGGTTTGTATCTTGAATATTTGTGAAATGAAACAAAAAACGTCAATTTTTATCATCTTAATCTTTTATTGAAACAGAAATTCTGTATGAAAAATAATATCAGACAAATGTCCGGCTCTAGAAGTCGCGCTCTACAATATTTGGGTTGTTGGCATAAACGCTATTTTTTTAAAATACTTATAATTTATTTTCCGGAGTACGAACACGGCCCGACCTTGGAAAGTCTTTAACTCCGCCTGTTGGTTCAAATTTCCGCACCAACTGACAAATGGTGTTGACACTGGGCAAATTATTTCGACCAAAATCTTGTCTTAGCTTCCGAACCGTTGCAACAATCAACTCATTATTTAAGTAAAACGTTTTAACAATACGGACGCGTTGTGGGATTGTGTAGCGCTCCATGATGAATTGGACACATGTGCTTTAACTACTGCACCAGCTACTCAAATGCGTGTATCAAAAATTGCGCGCAATTATTGGTATGATATGATGAAATTTATGCTTATCGAAAAAATGTATGCCAATGGTTTTTCTAAAAAATACCGTGTTCTCATTGATTCTTGTTGAAAAGTGTACGTTGAAGTTTTTGTTATGTTCTTTAAAAAAGTGGCAGGTGAATAACTAATTTTTAATAACAATAAGCAGGTTGATCTAGTAATTAATAAATTATTTTTCATTTATAAGCGGCAATTGATTAAGTAATCTGATTCTGAGATCCTGATACTGTCTTTTAGCAAATACGAGTGGTATATTGTTTTTTCGCTAAACAAGGAGATGGGCACGAACGCTACTGATGTGCGAGTTTGAAAAAACATTTGTGTACATGTTAATGTAACCTTTAATCATTTTGTGTACCAAAACATATCGCAATATCTCGAATCTGTTTGCGAGAGATATGTAACTTTTAAATGTTTTTATGTTTATCTCAACACAACGTGCTGAATTTGTCCAACAACGGGTATAAATACTTATTGTATGAGTTATCGCTTGTAATGGGTGTTTTTTTCGAGGTATACAACTTTAAGTTGGCATTACTTTTGAAGATGGCGACCAATTTGACAGCTGTCAAGTGTTTTATTCTCAGTTTGGTTTGGTAATTCATCATGAATAGACTAACGCCTGAACAAGGCTTACAAATTGTGCAGTTTTATTACGAAAATAATGGTTCTGTGCGGAATATGTATCGCGCACTACGTCCATTTTATCGTAGACAAAATCGTCCATCAGAGCAGTTAATTCGATTAACCATGGAACGTTTTCGCACCACGTTTACTATAATTGATAACTCGCATCCCCATAGATGCCGTGCAGTGCGTACAGAAGAAGCTATTGCTACTGTAGAGCGTAGCATTGAGGAAGACCCGAATGAGTCCATCCGTCTTCGAGCACACCAATTGGATCTTTGTCCAACCACTTTATGGAAGATTTTGCAGAAGGATCTTGGCTTGCGTGCTTACAAAATCCAACTCGTGCAAGAATTGAAGCCAAACGATCATCAAGCAATGCGTAGATTCGTTGAATGGGCCCAAAACAAGATTGCCGTTGTTCCCGATTTTCATAAGCGAATTTTGTTTAGCGATGAAGCGCACTTCTGGTTGAATAGCTACGTCAACAAACAAAACTGCCGCATTTTGAGTGAAGTTAATCCTCAAGTCTATGTCAAAGCCCCGTAACATCCAGAAAAACGGACTGTTTGGTGAGCTTTATGGGCTGGTGGAATCATTGGTCCGTACTTCTTCAAAAACGATGATGGTCAGAACGTTGCAGTCAATGGTGATCGGTATAGAGCCATGATTACTAACTTTTTCATTCCTGAATTGAACAATCATGATGTCCAGGAGCTGTGGTTCCAACAAGACGGCGCAACATGTCGACACAGCTCGTGCTACAATCGATTTATTGAAAGACACGTTTGGTGACCGCCTAGTTTCACGTTTTGGACCTGTGAATTGGCCTCCAAGATCTTGTGATTTAACACCGCTAGACTATTTTCTGTGGGGCTATGTAAAGTCATTGGTCTATGCGGATAAGCCACAAACGCTTGACTATTTGGAAGATAACATTCGCCATGTTATTGCCGATATACGGCCACAAATGTTGGAAAAAGTCATCGAAAATTGGACGTCCAGATTGGACTAGATCCGAGCCAGCCGTGGCAGTCATATGCCAGAAATCATATTTAAAATGTAATGCCACAAGATTATGTTTCGAATAAAAAAAATGCATGTCAATCGAATAATCCATCGTTGTTTTATTGCAATTTAAAGTTCTATATACCTCTAAAAAAACACCCGTTATATTATAGGTATATATACAGGGTGACTTTGAAGTTGAGTCATTAATTTTCAGATAATGATTGTAGAAGGAAGATAAACCAAAATATGAGTGTAAAAATAAAAAAAATTAAAAAAAAAATTTACCTTGTTTTATAAAGTATCATCCCGACAAGTATTTCAGTGCGGACCTGTATTTGATCGTGAGGTCTTGGGGCACCGGCATGCCGTCGATATGTGAGGTCTTAAGTCAAATGATTCACGAACTACATTAACAAAGGCACGAGGGGTTGGTTGCACTTGATTGGGAAACCGATCCGCATAAACATGTGCCATTTTTTATTTCGTTTGAGCCACGCAACAGACACCACTATCCACTACCGACTGACACTGACTGTATACAACTGAATGTAATAATTGTAAAAACATCATTCCAAATTCTTTTGCTTTTTTGTTTCCGATGCGATGAACCGATAAGGCGAATTATATCCGTTGTCGCCAAACACGAGCACATAATATTATTATTGAGACAGGGCGGTACTCAAACTTCCAAAGGGCTATAACTTTGTTACTTTAATTTTACCAGAAAAATGGTAAAGAAAAAAACATTTCTTTTGATCAGATCTACTCACTGTTAAAATAAATGACTCAACTTCGAAGTTGATATATATATCAAGGTAGGCTGTGTAATCTGAGTTACATTCAATTTTAGACAACTTGCGAACAAATGCTATTCACATTTTTTCTTTTTCTGTGCAACAGCAAACTTTGTGGTTATCGTCCAATCGGTAAAAGTGCCGTCTAACAATTAACTGTTGTTGTCAAATTCCTGATACTATCATATTTAAAAAACAACATGACTCAAGGAAAAGCATTCCCTTTTAGCGATGACAAATAGTTTAATAGAAAAACTGGCCTTTCTTCGAAAACTCGTAACAAGCGTAATAAGTTCTAGGTTTTAATGAAATTCCATCATGATTATCAAAAACATTTGAAAAAAGCATGGCATTTTGATTTTAAAAAAAATTAATATATCCAGTGACACTTGCACTGTTCAGACAAACCTAGGCAGACCTCGTATTTGAAAATACATCAGCTGTTTAAGCTATATCCCGTTGAATTGGAATTTCAATTTTCAAAGTTGAAATTTTCGATCAAAACCCGCCATTTTGATTTTCTCAATTTTAGGTTAACCTCTGTAACTCGAACTGTCAAAACTAATCTAGAGACACCTCTTATGTCGAAACCCATCAAGCCGTTTAAGCTGTTGCCTGTGAATAGGAATATCAAGGATCATTTTTACAACAACAATTCAGATGCCATCCACCAAGCCGTTTGGACTGTATCCCGTGAAATATAATTTTTTCCCCATATACATATATATATATATACATAGCCTTGCGCGAAAAACATATCCCCGATATACCATATGTCATTTACCTTTCGTTCAAATGCATTTAATTTCAAAGTTCGTCAACAGAGAAAGATATGTTTGCTTGGCGTGCACATTTCTACATTTTCCCTCTCCACGTACTGGAAACGAGACCAAACACACGTATCCCATATTCGTCGGAATTTTATTTTCATCTAAATGCCACAAACTCGCAAAGGACCTCGAGAACGCTCTAAAAAGAAAACAAAACCCCGTTCAGCAGCATCTGCCGTCCTTACCGCTTGCAAATGTTTGTGATTTCAATTTAGCCCAAAATATTTTTATGTGTAGATTCTCTGGATGTGCCAGGAGAGGACGTGCCTGGCGCTAAATATAAGTGCTTATAAATCGTCAATAAAGCGGACATTTCTGGTGAAATTTCGGTCATTTTAACACTCATATGATTCGAATAATGCGGTTCCAGATGCTACTCGTCAATTGCGCCAAATTTAGATTTCAATCATATTTGACTCAATTCGATAACCAGATGCCTAGTACAAAGTTTCTCTAAGCTCCTCATAGCAACCGCGGTGCTCTGGTATTTAGGCTTCTGGTTCTAGTATATAAAAAAATGGCGTCAAGTAGGTTGACTCTACACTTCCTCCTACGGGCTAATATACCGAGAAATCTATGATGTGTTAAGTATGTCTAATAGGTGCGTAGAATTACCAAGGTTGAGTGTGTATAAATGTACTAACATGAAAAAATTGAGATAAACCAACCTCACCTCCCCACAACTCCCACCTCGCAAGTTTTTTAACCCATAATTTTTTTTAAATGATCAGGATCCTCTGAAACGTCAAAAAACGATGTTTGAGCGTGTTTACGTTTTACGTTTTTTAGCCTTTTTCTCTGCCGTCACTGGACAGATTTTCCAAAAACTAAGCATTAATAAAATTCTATCGAAATCCGAGCAGTTCGTTCTTCTCAAGCTATGTATGAAGTACATTTCATATAACATTCAAAAAACATAATATCGCATTTTTGAACATTTTCGCAATTACAATGCTTCCCCGCCTGAACACGTGGGAAGTAATATACAAAGAAAATTGGATGCTTATGTTTATATGTGTAGTTCTTCTGCACATTACCACACGCTAGGCTAGATAATGATTTAGCTTTCGGAAATGGAATAAATTGTTCATCATAAGTCGCAATTATTAGATACAGAGAGAATCAGAAATAGTGACATTTCTAAAGCAGACATTTTTATACCACAACAGCATTGTTTCAGGATTGGGAATGAATATTCTAACAATATCCTAACTTGTTTTTTTCCTGCGAATTTTTTATCCTCCGCGAGCTTGATACATACATAGGTTATTATTTTCGGCACTTAAAACCAATTAACAACATTATTCTGAATGCACATTCGTCAAGTACCTCTGCATTCTAATACACAATACAATCTCCATGTTTCCTGAAAAGTATTCTCGAATCTTTAACGTCCATTTATTAAGACATCAGGTATACAGGGTGTTTGGTACATGAACCAATAACATTTTTTGGGCAAATGGGGATGTATTTTGATGGAAAAAGCAATGCTCTAAGGGCTACGGTTACCGAGATGTGATCGTTTTTCGTTTTTTGCTGAATTACCTACAATTGTGCATCAATATCTTACAACTTTTTTGTTTCTAGAGATAATGCCACAAAATAAACGTGAGTCTGTTCTGTAATGTATACTCAATCAGATCAGAAACCTTCCAAAGTCGTACAGTCACGTGGAGTGTATAAATAATTTCAAATTCGAAATTCGATTTCAAAAAAACTATACCTTTCTTGAAACCTAGTTTTACTCACAAAACTTCTGTGTTTTATTGCCTTTCCAATGATATGCGGCATACGCTGTAACCTGTTCTCATGAAATAAAAATATGGAAAACCGAAACAAGAAATTCTTTTTTCCTGAACCTAATCAACTGTTCTCTTCATCTCACCGCACAACATATTATTTATATGATGTGTAGCATATCATTGGAAAGGCAATAAATCGCAGAAGTTTTGTAAGTAAAACTAGTTTTCAAGAAACTTAGTTTTTTTGTAATCGAATTTCGAATTTGAAATTATTGATACACTGCACGTGATTGTACGACTTTGGAAGGTCATAACTTATTTGTTTAAGAACAAACTCGCGTTTATTTTGTGTCATTGTAGGTAATTCAGCAAAAAACCAAAAACATATCTCGGGAACCAAAGCCCTCAGATCATTGGGTTTTCCATCAAAAGTCTTCGAATAGCGCTCCCAATCGCCCAAAAAATGTTGTTGGCTCATGTACCAAACACAATGTCCAGTCAGTCTTTCAAATCGTCTGAAGTCCATAATAATTGTATCTAGTTTCTTGCTGGTATTTTCATTTTATATAAAAATCTATCAGTATCACATCATTTATATCACTGTATTATATTACCTACAAGTGATTCTGAAATGAATTCCCGAACTAAGAACACAGTAGATTGAAACCTGACAACACATCTGCTCCACATGTGCCCTCCTGCCATCCCGCTTCAACTCGCCCCTCCTGAGAATGATTAGTGACAAAAAAAACAGATTTAACCAATATTTGCGTGAAAATTTCGATTACTAATTTTTTTTAACAAGATCGACAGATTTACTTGTAATATCCCACACATACAGTGGCCTTACTTACGGAGTCATACTGTATCATGTTTTTGTAGGACATATTTAAGTTATTATAAGCTTTTGGGATGTTCAAAACAATTGTTTCTGAAGAAGCAAATGTGATAAGAATTTGTCATGTAAGACAGTTCATTAAATTAAAATTTGAACACCTTATTCAAAAATCGATTTTTTCAGTAACGTAATTAACATTCCCCTGTTTACTTTTTGAACAAAATGTGTTCATTACTGAACCTTTAACTGTAAATGAATCTTGTTGATTATATTGTCAATATCACAACATACTTTTTCAGCTTTAAATGTTTCTGTAAACCGTGAAAGTAGAGCAGCATACCTACATACGATACAGAGCGACTTACCTTGTTATCTTGTTTTATTCAAATTACGACCCGCACGAAAATACCTCATGCGAAAAATAATTTATAAATATTCTCCATTCCAGTCAATATTCTTTTTAGACGAGGGAAAGCTTTGTTGCCTTTCTCAGCGAGAAAAGCTCGGTAGTGTTCGCCGATCAGCCTTTTCTGCCCGAAGGGTGAGATTTTCCGTTTCATTTGATTAATGTACGTTTTATTGGTTGCAGGTACCTTGTGAGATGGGCAACAAACCATCCACATCGGAGGGTGAGGAGGACTCAACAGGTGAGGCTCATCATGGGAGGAAAGATTTGGCAAATGGAGGTACTTCAGCTACCGCAGAAGATGCTGACGAAGAGGTTTGTAATTTTGTTCCTATTTCAATATCCATTCAGGTTGAACTAAGCATATTTCCACTTTTTGGCAGTACAGTAATCGCCTGGAAATCCCCGAACTTGCTTCAGACATTTGTGGAATACGAGGTCTGTCATTTAAGTGATTGTATATCGTCTCCCTCAAAACATCCTTATTCTGAAGCCACACAGCGCTGGAGAGGGATCTTGCACTCCTCTTATCAGTGCTGGAACTCCGATACTGGAATAGCCTGCAGCTGGTCGGTTACAGCCGTTTGAGTGTTTGAATTTTTCAACTTCGTGAATAGAAAAAAGTCATAAGGACTCAAGTCAGACGAATAAGGAGGCTGAGGAGCCATAGAAATGTTTTACTGACCAAAAACTCGTTTATTGACACTGCTGTGTGACAAGGAGCATTAGCGTGATGCAACACCCAGTTGTTCTCGATCTGATGGAGGTGGCGTGAGTCAAATTTAACTTTTCCCCGATCATTCTATCAACCGACGATCTCAACACATAAGATCTCGGATTCTGTCGATATTTTCATTGGTTCTTGAAGATGAAGGCCTTCCGCTACGCAGTTCATCTTCAACCGACTCTCTCCCTTCTGAAAATTCGTTAAACATGGGCTCTTCACAAAACGCTATCTTCGTAGGCCTGCTGAAGTTTAGCAAGACTTCCGTTGCACTGTGCCCAAGTCTGAAGCAAAACCTGAAAGTACACCGTTGCTCGAAATTGATGTGACTCATTTTTAAAACTCAATAAAATCTCTACGGGCAACCAACTGATTCCAGCGAGTTCAAACCTGTACTGAAGGCGGATCACATGTTGCCCTGTCACCTCACCAATCCCGGCGCCTCCACTGTTGCCAGATCGAACGCTAGGTTGCCAGTCTCATTGCCCAATTTACAGATTTCCTAAGCTTAACCAGTCATTCAGAGTGCCCTACGGCCTTGCTTTTGATATTACAATACTTTTTTACTTTTTAATCTGTTCCTCATTCTATAAATGGCCCAAACAAGATTGAGACTGCGATAATGTAACTTGATACAGTTCAGAAGAACGCAGTCCGACTGATAAGCGTCATATTTTCACATCGAAGAGCGGTCGGTGAACTGGTAGTTTTCTATCGATATGCCATCATAACTTTATGCTGCATTTGCTAGTTCTACTGATCTTAAACTAGACCGAAATTCGAATCATCAGGAACTGTTGGCAGTAGTGGTGTTGTAGTACTAAGAAGAGTTTCTTGTTTCAGGTTGAATTGCCGCCTCCGATGAAACCAATCCAGGAGCCAATATTGGTCACTTCGTCAACAGCAACACCACCATCAGCTTTACCACAACCCGGTCTTGTAGCCGATGGTGAAGAAAACAATCCTTGCAAAAGGGTAAGTACTTGTATATATCGAAGCAGCTACGTTGGCCTTCTACTTCAGTAGGCAAGAATCATTCCTTGGGTTTCATGCGATTTCGTGTATGTCACATCCAAAGATGTGCGCTCCAAGAGTACACATTAACTTTGAGTGGGCGTTTGGTCTTGTTTCAATAATAATCTGGATTTGGATGCTAACTCTTGGAACCATCAGAACTCGCAGCTGTGATAATTGAATCCATGCTGTTCGATCTACCGAATTACTTATTTCAATATCGTTTAAAGATGAACGAGGATTTAATCAAATCATGAGATCTTTCTGCATAAAACTCTAGGTAAAACAGGACGCTTTGATTTGAAATAAAAAATAATTGAAATAATCATCAATATAAATGATAACCCAGGAATCAACTGCATCGATACAGGCACATTGGGAAACATTTTTCTCCATAACAATCACATATCTGCATTTGATTGCACTCTTCTGTCGCCGTACTAACATCATTTTCATTACACCATCTTTCTATTCTACAGGTCTCTAGCCTAACTCTAAAACCGTTAGAAGGTGCTACTTCAGCAGATTTGGCTGAGATTGAACAAATAGTGAAGGAGAGAATGGTGCGAAAATTCTCATTTCATAAGCATTGACGTTTAATAGTTATTTGCATGATTTTCTCGTGTTAATATTTCCTGATTTTAGTTTTCTATCGTTATTGGTGAATTCCATATAAATAACAATATGATTCAGCAACTCTAAACCTTGTTTGAATATAGTCAATATAAAATTCAGCCCTTTTGCTGCCCAAAAGTGATATTTTACTTCGTAAAATATAATACGAATTATTGACACAGTAAACTCGTCTTTATACAACATTCCATGGATCATGTTTACAAAAAAATATATATAGAATGCCTTTCTTCCTCTTCCTCATTTTCAGACTACTATTGTTTATATTTTGAAAAACTGGTTTTAGAGTGTGTTTATACAACACATACGGGTACAGATTTTTTATCATAAACATTTGCAAGATGTGGTCCATTGTATCTATGGAATTCACTATCCAGGGTGGTCATTTGAAAACTTCCCTCCAGGGATTTATCGAAAACCATTGATTGAAAGAAAAAACGCCGAGACACGTCAAAAGATTTGTCACGGAGGACAACTTTTCCCCCCTCGGCCCACCAGGGTCATCCCCTTAAAAATTTTAAAATGACAAGGGGTATCCAGTAATAGCCTGTCTGATAGGTCTTTCGAAGTCCTTTATTTTGGCGTTTGATTTTTTAAAATCGATCGACCGGTTTCGAAGAAAATTAGAAAAAATCTTAATTGGTTCAGATAGAAAACAAACACATACGAAAATATCACTTTTTATGAGTGTCAAAGTGTTGCCCTTTATTGGACAAACAATGATATAGGCGACATTTTCAAAAACATGTTGTGGGATATCATGGCAGCTTTCGATGATGCGTTGACGAAGTTCATCCAAACTTTCCGGTTGGGGAGTAAATACAATAGATTTCAAATGGCCCATAGAAAAAAGTCTAATGGTGTCAAATCAGGAGATCTAGCAGGCCATTTTATACGCCCTCTTCGCTCTATCCATTTATCCGGAAACTCGTCGTCTATCCATTGTCGAACCGGAAGAACATAGTGAGGAGGAGCGCCGTCTTGCTGGAAATATATCCTTATCAAGGTTTCCATCCTCTTGATTTGATTTTCAATGGTTTCAGGATTGGTGGTATTTTCCAACATATCTAAATAAATGTCTCCATATAAATTTCCATTAATAAACAATCACCCAATCACTTTGCTTCCTAAAATGCTTGCCCATACATTAATTTTTTGGGGGTACTTATTAGAAAAAATGTGCATTCATCACTGAAGCAGATATTCTTTACATGAATTATCATTAATCGCTGCCGTCATTTATTCACAAAACTCAACTGTGTGTACAGAGCCTAATGAAATACCAGTCGCAGCAACAATTTTGCGTAATGAAGTATTAGGATTTATTCCAAAATGACCCAAAACTTCAACTTGAGTAGCTTCATCCAAAACTCTCCGATGATCACGTTTTTTATTTGCAACAGATCCAGTTTGAGTAAATTTAGTATCAAGATCCAAAACATACCTATGCGAAGTTATCTTCTCCGGATGTCTGGCGTTAAACGTAACGGCAGTTTGCCGAGCAGATCAATTTTGGGCACCATAAATTAGAATCATTTCCACCCTTTCGGCTAGTGTGTAAAAATCTGTATCAATAAATTAATTTTCACTCACCCAAGATTGTCACAAAGGTAACTGATAGCAAATTAAATTATTTCCTTCCCTTAGCAACAAATGACTAAACATGTATAACAATAAACACAGTTTACCCAGATTATCTGTGTTGATGAAAAGATGCGGAAAAAAATTCGGGTTGTTATTTGGTTGTTGCCACGTCTAACCTTCCGAATCGCTGTTTACGAGTATATTGGTAGTTTCAGTTTTAACTTATAAACGAATTGTAGATTTGGCAAACCCTAACGGTTAACATTTTGAACATTTATTCAAATAAAAAGTTATAATTTCGTGTGTTTGTGTTTTCTGTCTGAACAAATTAAGTTGAAATAAGATTTTTCTAATTTTCTCGAAGACGATTCGACTGATTTTGAAAAATCAAACGTCAAAATAAAGAACTTTGAAAGACCTTTCAAACAAGCTATTACTCGAAGCCCCATGTCATTTAAAATTTTTAAGGGAGTGTGACCCTAGGGGGTCGAGGGTGAAAGGGGGTGAAATAGTTTTTGGTTGAAAAGTTGTCCCACTTAACAAATCTTTTGACGTGTCATAGCGCTTTTTCTTTTCATCAGTGGTTTTTGATAAACCCGTGGTGGGAAGTTGTCAAATGAAGTATACAGGGTGTTTCAGTTTATTGTTGCATAACTTTTAGATTCGATAGAACTTTTAAAATCAATTCGTAAAGTCTATATAAACATGGGTCGAAAAATGCGTGGCTTCAGAAATACAGTTACTTTCTAAAATAGTTTTTTTTTTAAATATTTCGAACAATATTTGATGTATAACAGTGAAAATTGGTATACAAGGGTTTTTTGGTACGACAAAACGAACCATGGGCATAGTTTTACTGTAGCCGCTAGAGGGCGCTCTCTACTGTACCTGTAGTGTATTAAAATGACCGAAAAATTTTTCTAGTGCAATTTTTTGCTTTTTGAATAAAAAAACTGATTCTTCGAACTTTTCAACATAAAAAAGCTCTCCTGTGAGTTTTCGTTATAGTTAGCCGTTTTTGAGATATTTCGATTTTTAAGGTTCGATGCATTTTTAATTATTTATGGGAAAACAATATTTTTTTTACATTTTCGATTTGGGCATTACAAGTAATTAAGATGATCGTTTAGATTGTGTTTTTAAACACAGCAATAATTCCTAACTCCAAATAAACACAAAAACAATATTAATTTGTTTAATTTACCAATATTATTTTTAACAAATTAAATTAATTATTTACAACTAAAATACTATTGGATAGTTAGGACAAATATACAAAATCTAAAGTAGTTGCTCGAAATGTAAACCCAATTGTTCAATACACAATTCACATCTACGAATGATCGAACGTGGTATAGCATTATTCAAATAAGGCCTTATTTCATCACATGCATTCCTGATTCTGTCTATTAGCATATCTCTTGTGTTTACGGGAGTCTGGTACACTTTTTCTTTTAGAAATCCCCACACAAAGAAATCTAATGGATTTAGGTCAGGGGATCGTGCAAGCCAGGCGACTGGTCCTCCACGGCCGATCCATGTTTCTGGATAATTTTCGTCCAGCCAGTTTCTAACTATTCTCGAATAATGAGCTGGACAACCATGGAACCAGGCCAATCTTCTTAAATCTAACATAACATCATCCCACATATTTGCATGTTCAGCTTTTAAAAATTCCAAGAAGGTCGCAGCATTTAACCTTGCAGGCAAAAGGTAGGGTCCAAATAGTCGATTACGGTAGATACCAATCCACACGTTCACACTAAATTCATGCTGAAAATTTCTTTCCCGAACTGCATGCGGATTTTCATGCGACCAAATATGTTGATTATGAAAATTTACCACTCCACGTCTAGTGAAGCATGACTCATCGGTCCATAAAACGTTACTTAAAAAACTCCCTATTATTATCAGTTCTATCAAGAATCCACTGACAAAATGTGAATCTTCGTTCTCAGTCCCCTGGCTATAGTCCTTGCACAGTTTGCAAATGGTAAAGACGTCTATGGTCATTTCTAAGAACACGGTGAACATGGCTTGCTGAAATTCCCAAGGCACCAGAAACTCTTGTGGTCGGATCTCTATCAAACTCGCACAGAATCATACGGGTAAATCTGCGCTGACGAACATTTATGTTTTGATCCCTTTGGAGATTTCCAAAACCATTTTCAATTATTTGGCGATGCACTCTTACAAATACTGAGCGAGTTGGATGTCGTCTGTTTGGAAATCTTCGTGCGTATTATCTTGCTGCTTCTGCTGCGTTTCCATTTACAAAGCCATACACAAAATGAATTTCCGCTAACTCTTGATTGGAGAATAAAAATGGCATTTTTATAAAACTTACAAAAAACAAACAGGTAAAAGAAACTAAATTTCGTGCAAAAAAACGTTTCAGGTTTCAACAGACAACAAAACTAACTGTCAACTAATTGACGTTTAATCTTATTCTGCTTTCAATTTCAAAAATATTTGCAGGCGCAGCCTACTTCTAAAAATTATCGAGATACTGACTTTTTAACGTTATTTTATCATAAATAATTAAAAATGCATCGAACCTTAAAAATCGAAATATCTCAAAAACGGCTGACTATAACGAAAATTCACAAGAGAGCGTTTTTATGTTGAAAAGTGCGAAGAATCAGTTTTTTTATTCAAAAAGCAAAAAATTGCACTAAGAAAAATTTTTCGGTCATTTTAATATACTACAGGTAGGTACAGTAGAGAGCTCCTCTAGCGGCTACAGTAAAACTATGCCCACGGTTCGTTTTGTCGTACCAAAAAACCCTTGTATACCAATTTTCAATGTTATACATCAAATATTGTTCGAAATATTTAAAAAAAACTATTTTAGAAAGTAAATTAAATACCCTGTATTTCGGAAGCCACGCATTTTTCGACCCATGTCTATATAGACTTTATGCATTAATTTTAAAAGTTCTATCGAATCTTAAAGTTATGCAACAATAAACTGAAACACACTGTATATGTGAGCTATTTTTCATTATTCGATGTATTTATTGAATGCAATAGCTTATTTCATTTGCACATATAAGTAATGTCAATATTTATAACGCATGTATTCAGCTGAGACGCACGATATTTCTGGATTTGATTTTACTGACTGCTTTGCCTGATAGTAGCCAATTTACCGTATTTTGTATTAGATAGAAATAGATGTAAGTTCGACTGAAGGTGAAGCTGTAGGATTTCATGAGAATGGTACTTCAAGAAGAAATAATAATTATATATTATACAGGGTAGTCCATAATAAATGCTCCAAAAAGCGATGCAGGATTAAACTCGCGAAAAGAATGCACAACGTTAAACCATCAAATAAATTTTTTTTGAAAACATCAGAAACAAATGGTGCAAAGTGATGTAGCGTGATTTCATTGAACCAAAAAAGTTCAAAATATGTTTGTGACGACCACTTTGATGTGATAAATTTAATGAAATAAATTCCATCATTGTATAAATATTAATTTTTGACAAATTATCACATCGTTCCATAAATCCTCCTTCTATAGGAAACCTCGTGTCCGAGATTCTGGGTACACAATTATATCTGTACTAACAACTAACCGGGCTAACACCTGTATAAACCATATAGACGCTGGATACAATTGCTTTGCTCTACAATACGTCAACTTTAATCATTGATTTCATTGCCATTTATGGTCCGATTTTTTTTTCACTAATTGATCATATTTCATCTATATTTTGTTGGTATGTTACTACTTAATTGATTCAGAATATCGTGAAACTTCGGCACCCTGTTTATCAATGTTTAAAGCAATATCATTATTTGCACGTGTGTTATCTTGGATTGCTTTTGACCACCGTGTTTAGGCAATATGAGATTTCAAGATCTTCTTATGGGATCTTTTCCTGTTATTTCTCAATGAACTTTCTGCCGTAGTAGATCCTTTTTGTTGCTTGATGCTCCATTTAATGCACGAACGTAGTAGCTAAATGTATACATACAGGATGTTCTCCAAAGAACTGCGGCGATCGATGACTCGAAAGCTTGCCGTTAGATAATTAGGAAAACTTGGAAACACGGTATAATTGATGGGAACAATTCGGCTAAAATGTTTAAGTAGATATCAAGTTGCTAGTTTTAAATGGGACATCCTGTATATTATTCAATTTTTATGTTCTACTTCAAATATGTACAGTAATGGACAAAAGTATATAGACAAATACGAATATTTACCTAAATACCTTTAGAAAATGAATTCATACTTCATTGCACCATAAACAAATGCGTTATTAGTAGAATAACTAAATTCCTTGTTTTTACATTATCTGCAATGAACACAATACAAGTCTGAATATAAGCACATTTTTATGAGGGAAAAAAATATGTAGACAAATTCTTTTCAACGTTAGTTTAGTACAGTTTCGTGTCAGAAGAGGATTAGTTTGTGTTCATCAAGTATTCTTTCGATGTGAAAACTAAGATCATTGAGTTATACAAAGATGGTCAACATCAACTCGACATTGCCAAAAATTTGATAGATCAGTTAGATTAACAAAAGTAATTTCGACCAAACATCCGTTTAAAACTCCAAGGCAAATAAAAGCCGAAATCGAGACAAAAGGAATTGCCAGTGTTTCTACGAAAACTATAAGTAGAAGATTAAATGATTTGAAGTTATTTGCACGTCGCCCGAGTAATAAGCCGCTAATCTCGAGGAAAAACCGTAAGGACCGATTACAATTTGCACGGTTGCATCTTGATTGGAGCATCTCTGACTGGAAGAGGGTATGTTTCAGTGACGAATCCAAGTTCAATATTAGACATCCTAGTGGACAAAGATTCAACCCCAAGTACACTTTGCCCACTGTCAAACATGGAGGCGGGTCTGTTATGGTTTGGGGGTTCTTTTCGGGGTTTGGGTTGGGACCTTTAGATAGAATAGATGGCATTATGGATAAGTTTGTATACAAATACATACGAAAGCATGTCATGTTACCCTATATGGAATACAGTATGCCCTTAAGATCAATATTCCAGCAAGATAATGACCCGAAGCCTTCAAATCTCGCAAAGACATTATTTCTGGATGAAAAAATACCAGTTCTCAAATTGCCTTCACAGTCTCCCGATATAAACCCCATTGAAAATCTATGGGAATACTTAGATAAGCAAATACGAGATAAAAATTATCAAACAAGGATGAGCTTTTTGCCGCTTTAGAGCAAAAGTGGAGACAGATTGATGAATCTTATATCAAGAAACTTCGACAATCTATGCCGAGACGATGCCAGGCGGTGATGGATAATAATGGTTATGCTAAAAAATATTAACACAAACATGGTTGGTTTTCTATAATTCAATGAACTTTGCTTTTTTTTCTATAATTGTTTTGCTTTGTCTATATATTTTTGTCCTTCATAGTTCCAGTTTTCTTCAATTAATTTTTTATTGAAGGGAGTCTAATGAATTTATTTATGTATAAGTGAGTATTATGCTATAACGAATTATGTATACAGGTTGGTGTATTAATAAAACAAGTTAAAAAAGAAATACAGCACAATATTAATTTGTCTATATACTTTTTGTCCATTACTATTTGTCATCTAGCCAGAGAAGATTTAGGATTTAGATAGTGAATTTAATGTTGATTACTGCGCAGTGTATATTTTTCCAAATCAGCGATATTCTTCGTATTATCAACGTAAGCTTTGCTTTTATGGTACGTCCATGGAAAAACATTTATGGGAGTCAATTGGGGTGATTGTGATGGCAACAAAATATCACTAAAGCCACATGTTGACTTTTGTGTAAACAGTTGAACAAATTTACCCTCAAAATGTTTCAAGTGACTTGCCTCATCCACAATCATAAACTGTACGCAGAATGTTGTAAACAATTTGCCGAAATGTATTAGTTATCGTTACGCCTCTGGCATTTTTAAAGAGAAAGACTCGACTATTCACTTCGGTGATGTTGCATGACTACCAGTATCACCAGATTTAACACCCACTGACTCTTCTTATGGAGCATCCTTTAAGCAAAATGGGGGCATTTAACATATATGATGTAAACTTTGAAAAATAAAACCCCACATCTAGTGACTTAATTTTGTGTGTGCCAGTTTTCAAATGTTCTTAAGGAAATTGAAAAAGTGTTTCATCGAAATCCAGAATTAATTTAATTCATTGATATTGTTGCATCAATGCTAAATCAATCTACAACAAAGAAAGAATTTTCAATAAAAACATTATTCCTATTTTTTAATTCAATTCCAATTCTCAATCTTCTCTGGAACACCCTGTAAAATCAGTCGAATTTTACTCATCCCAACTTCCGCTCCTCCAGGAGCAACATTCTGAGTTGCAACTCACCTCAACCACATTGTCGTCACTGACTCGGGACTCCAAGTCGGAGACGGCCATTTCGGACATGGGCGACTCGTCAGGAGGGGGCAGCGGGGGAAGTCTTCGGTACCACCCCCCAACGTCGACGCCCCTGAACGCCGCCTCCGCTACGTTCAGCGGGGACGAGAGTGACCGCCCCTCTTCCGAAGACGGCGGCGGCGTCGACGAGAAACGTAGGAGAGATGTGTTGCTGAAGAAGAGGCAGTACGTTTTGAAGGAGCTTATTGATACAGAGGAGGCGTATGTTAGGGATCTATCTATGATCGTCGAGGGGTAACTATTTATTTTTATTTTTAAAGACAAAGGAACTTTCGAAAAAAAGCCAATTGTATACCATCTACCAGATAGAATTTCAATTTAACTGCCTGTTGTAGATTGTTTAAATCCACTTTTCAACGATGATGGAGGTTATCTTTGTTTTTTCGCGGCTGTCCATAGAACGTGACCATACATGTCATTTCAAACTGTCAACCTTTGATGATAAAGGTTTTCCTTACATCTGAGGGAAGCCTAACCTCCATAGCAGAAGTGGGAGCTTATTGTAACGACATGACATGGAAAAACTATTACGCCACAGCTTAGGCAGAACATTTTACGTTTGAATTATAAAGTGCAAGTTTTACAACTTGTATACAGGTTGGGAAATCTTGAAACTGGAGATGCTACAGACCAAAGTACGTGAACTGACCTGAACATACCTCAGTCCAAAAGTTGGTAGTTTACGCGATACAGGGTGTCAAAGTTACAATTTTATTTTCTAGTTTTCCTTATTGCTTGACAAGTATTTCAGATTTTAGCATAAAACTCTAAAAGTATTAGCTTTAGACACTTCTAACAAGTAAACCTTTTTTGTTGTAGAAATACGAAAAAATAAGATTTTTCGGTCAGTTGTTGTATACAGGGTAGCACATAAAGTTATGATAAGTTATTTATCGAAATAGTGCTGTAAGTGGCGCGCTCTAGAAGTTTGACCATAAAAAATAACGGATTTGGTCTGCAGTATCTCCAGATTCTAGATTTTCCAACCTTTCGCAGAGTATTGAAAAAACTAGTCTTCAAACTATACTAAGTGACATATAAATCCGAACACCCAGCTTAAATGGTTTTATTTTAATAAAAGTTGGTGAATGTATTTATCTTACTGTAAATAACAAGTGAAAAAATTTTCAGCCTTATCAGTTGGACATTCCGGTTTTTATACTGCTTTTTTTTAATTCACTAACGCTCTAAAAATGAATATTTCAGCCGCAGTAAAGAATCAACGTTGGCGGATTTTGGTTCTTGACATCCTTTACGATCGGTTACGATGCCTAGAGTACGGAGACCTGTACGATTTCTTCAACTTAGTGAGTTTGATAGGGGCCGTATAGTGGGACTTCGGGAAGCTGGACTTTCTTTTTGGGCAATTGCAGTTAGAGTGCAAAGAAGTGTAGACACTGTGGTTAGGTGTTGTCAGGCATGGCTTCGAGAAGGCCGTACACAAAGAGCAAGCGGCACTGGACGCCGCCGTAGAACAACAGACCGTGAAGATCGCCGCCTAAGATTATTGGCCTTAAGGGACCGTTTCTCCACTACCAGGTCCATTGCAAATGAATGGTTTGCAGAACACGGAAGACCTATTGGCATGCGAAGTGTTTACCGACGAATGAGAAGTTTTGGCTTGTTTTCATACCGGCCACACTGGGTCCTCCCTTTAACTCGAGAACACCGACGTAATCGCCTTGAGTGGTGCAGACAACGGTCACTCTGGGATCAGGAATGGAACAGTATTGTCTTTAGTGACGAGTCTCGATTTTGTTTAGGCATGCACGATGGTCGTGCCGGGGTTAGAAGGCGACGTGGTGAAAGAAGGAATCCACAGTTTTTTGTTGAAAGACATGTTCATCACACTGTTGGAGTTATGGTTTGGGGTGCTATAGCTTATGGTTCCAGGTCACCTTTAATCTTCATCAGAGGTAACATGAACGCGCAGCGTAATATCCACGAAGTTCTAGAACCCCATCTCTTACCCTATCTTGACACCCTGGCAGATCCAACTTTCCAACAAGATAATGCCCGACCACATGTTGCAAGAGTCACAATAGACTTCTTTCAACATAATGATGTTACATTGTTACCATGGCCACCAAGATCTCCCGACTTATCCCCAATTGAGCACGTGTGGGATATGATGGGTAGGAGATTGCTCAATTTGCAACGTCCTCCTCAGACTCTAGAAGCACTTCGAGAGGAGTTGGTGGTTGCCTGGAATGAGATACCACAGGAGGACATTGACCACCTGATCAGAAGCATGCCTAGGCGCGTTGGAGAATGCGTAGCACATCAGGGTGCATCCACACATTATTAAATGTCAAAGGGCTTTAAAGCAGTGCAATCATTTAGAAATTTTTATCATTTACTTATTATGCTTCATTAAGTACTTATACAAAATCTTATTAAAATAAAACCATTTAAACTGGGTGTTCGGATTTATATGTCACTTAGTATATTTACAGGTATATTCCGAAATTTTGAAAGTATCCCATTGTTCAGGTATTACTGACTTAGCTTAAGAGTTCACCAAAAATTTATCCAATTCCACATTCCACGAAATTACAAATAACAACAACTCTGATGAGAATTTCAGTAGGCGGTTTTGAATAACTTCTGTCAGTACAGTATTTGGAAAATTTTTAAATCGAGTCATTGTAAATTGACTCACTATCAACTCAAATAGTTTATAACCTCTCGCACTACAATAATAAGAGCTGCAGTAGACCTATCCCAACTAGCAAAGTAGTGGTATAAGCTTTTGGTAAAAGAATCGTTCAGCCATAAAAGCTCTCTATTGTTGTTGTCTGAACACCAAAATGCTGGCTTAATGTTGTGTGGAATGCAAATTTGCTTTCTGCAACATATTTGCTCTAAAATGAGGTGTTTAAAATATTCTTATAGCATAGCTATACAACATCTTATAGGGCAAATTTTTAACTGTTGCATAAATGTTTATACAACTATTTTATACGGCATATTTGCACGTTAGTCAACATGGTTGTGTTGTGGCATCCATGGTAACGTTTATAAAACAAACCCGAGCCTTGTTTTGCTGTGCAATTTACTACTTTAGCCAACAAATTGCTCCCAACGGAAGCACTTATACAACTGTTGTTTAGTAAATGTTAAAGGCTGTACATATGCTAAATATGTTGGTAAACAACTTCACCATAACCTAACTTTCTGCTGTCATATTTTTGTAAAATGCCATAACCAATGTTTTAAGACAAACAACGCATGCATATTGGTTCAAAAGGTTTTATCAACTGTTCAAACAGAATATATAGATCTGGGTAAATCATTCGACTCTGTCGGTATTTCATTTCAGACATTTGTCAAATTGTTGTATAACACCTGCAGGCAACACCAAAATATTCTAATAACCTAAAGACAACATGGACGATGCCATGATTGTACACAACCACCCGCCATATTGGGCAAACATTTATTCCTCTATTTAATATTAAATATATTATGTTTCAGTTCGAAATTACAGATATAAAGAGATACACATTAGTGTAATTGTGACTAAATATAGGATTTGTGGAAGATTTAACGCAGATAAGTTAAGTTATCCATCTTCAAAATCTAGACATACTTTTGATCTTTGTCAAAGTATGAATCAAATACGAAGCCCGTAGAAATTGGGTAACTAATTTGCACGATAATCACAATAAAATTTGCTGCGCAAGTAATTCAATAGTCCTATATCACAGTGTAGAAGTTTATCATATACCTGTGTATGAAATTCACTATGGCCGATATGTAAGTAAACAAGATGACTGTAATGTGTTAGTTATATATTCTTCACTTCGTCTATACAATACCTTTGAAATAGTTTGGTTGCAATAAAGTAGAATCACGTAACAGAATAGTTGTATAGTTGACAAAAACTGAATCTGATGTCCTATAGTGGCTGCAAGAGGCTTACACTTCTGTTTTATAACTGTTACCTGCAGCCCTTATACAACCTCTTAAATGAAGTGTCCTATTAGGTGTGCCCATTCCGCTTGTATAGCTGTTCTAAGAGGGTTTTGCCAATGTTCTTACAGTATACAATGCTGTTTAAGGAATACTGTATAATCATTCTTGCAACCCTAATAGGAGTGATAATTGTTGATGTTCGGTTGTTTGCTTTCTGTTCTTTGCCTCTGAAGGCCATACCTATAACATACCGTGCAACAACGTTGTACACGGTTTGGTATGGTCACAGAAACAGAAAGCAAACGGATCAAATTCTGCTTATGCTTGGTTTGTACAACTTTTGCATACTCAACTTCTCAAAGCTGGCAGTGTCACCCTTTGCAACTGTGCGTCTAGCTAGTGTTATAATTTACTAATTTCGAATTTTCAGGTATATAGCAACCATGAAGGATCCTGACTGCAAAATCCCAATGCCAGAAGATCTCAAAGATGGAAGGGACAAACTAGTATTTGGAAATATCGAAATGATTTATGATTGGCACAAGAAGTACGTTCATAATTTGTATGTTTCTAAATTTAGGATAGCATCTGTGTCTAAAAAGACAATGTTTTCAAAGCATTGGGTCAATTGCTTTTAAAACCCATCGCTTTCGAAATGAAAAATAGACGCCCAAATAATACGGAACCCTCGTTGAATACTAGTTATTTATGTAACGCGACGTTTAGCACCGCAAGCTCTAATTTGATACCGTATATGTATATACAAAATTTCCTCTACGACGAGTAAGAGTAAGTTAGAAAATAGAGAATAATTAAATAGACCGTATTATACCGCCAATTTCCTATTATTGCAACATTTGCCCTTTCAACAAATAGCTGTGTAATATAAGCTACTTTACATCCTATAGGCCGAAAAGTGGAACTTACGCCATGAAAAGCTTTTGATAAAAGTACACTTTACCTGCTGGTAGTAGATTACATACCTAGATTGAGAAGTAAACCGTTATAATAGCACGACCAATAATTTATAACTTGATATAAAAAAGGACGTACTCTACATGATGAATGATGGCCTTCTCAAACTAGGTATGTGTACATTTTTTCATTACTAACACTATGTATCAGTGCACTCGTTTTTACAAGATCCCCTAAACTATACGTACATCAACGATCATGACGTTCCGTAGATATTTCACAAATACTTTGAAACAGCTAATAGCCTGGCGTTAAAGTGACAAACTTGATAATTTTCAATATGCAAAGGCAGATTTGTCCTGCGAGGGGGTCGATTTCTGTTTCAGAGAGCAGTAGCTGCTAATGTTTGTCGGTTGTGTTTTCATTTTTCTAGCATTAAAAACCATTTTCCAATGCTTTCAGAATTATTGAAATAAGAAGGCTAGCTACACGACGAGCTATACCTAATATTATTTATTTCCCACTTGTTGTCAAACTGACCTAATGAAGTTAGCAGGATACGATTTTAAATGACATTCATTAGTTACCTTGATGTTATCTTGATGTTTTTTGTTATTGTTATTAAAACCTTCATAACTACAGGGTGAGCACTTTTCAAATTTCTGTGACAAAAAAATATAGTTTGTATTAAACTGAATGTTTATTTAAAAAAATAAAAATATACTGTAAAATCAAGTCTTAAAAATGATATCGTCCAGATGGATGCCATCTCGTCGCTGGCGCTTCTCAAACCTGGCCCTTAGCTTTTCAAAAACGTTTCGACAGAAAGTGCCGGATGTTACCAATTTCTTGGAAAATATTTTCTTTTAAAAAAAGTTATTATACAGGGTTGGCCAACAATTCGTTAACATTTAAATCTAATACACCACGCAAACAGATGCCGCTCGAAGCGCGAGGAGGGAGCTAGTCGCTAGCTCGTTTTTCGGAAATTTCAGTCGCAATGGATCTCTTCACGGGGCCGCAACTTCGCGTTGAATACAATTTACACTACTTAAGTCAGTGTCCGAGTGCTCCTTTGATAAAGAAATGGGTGAAGAAGTTCGCAGAGACGGGATCTACACTGAATGTGAAGCAAACCGGCGGCCCACGGACTGCTCGGAGCGAAGAGAACGTGCAGCAAGTTCCCGCTTCTGTTCAACGTGGTCCAGATTTATCGACGCGCAAACGTTCGGCTGAATTAGGATTATCCCGCACATCATTATGCCGTATTTTGAGATTAGATTTGAAATTATATCCATATAAGATCCAGATGCAGTGCAGGAACTAAAACCTAATGTTTTAAATTTGCGGAAGTCGTATGCCGAAACAATGTTAGCTCGATTCAATAATTTTGACAATCTCTTATTTTCTGACGAATCCCATTTCCACCTCAAAGGACACTCTCTTAAAGTAACTGTATGGGCTGCAATTTCAGCAAAAGGAATCATTGGCCCCTACTTCTTTGAATATTGTCGCGGTCATTCAGCTACTGTTAATTCTGCTGAGTATGTGGGAATGTTACTGGAGTTCTTGGCACCGATGCTACTGGAATTTGCTGGCTATAATCGTAACACTTGGTTTTAATAAGATGGAGCCACGTGTCACACATCCAACGAGTCCCTGTCAGTGGTCAAAGAAATGTTTCCGGAAAAGCTCATTTCCAGACGAGGCGACATCCCATGGCCACCCAGAAGTCCAGATCTATCCCCACCAGACTTTTTTTATGGGTTTGATTAAAAAGTCGTGTCTACATCAATAAACCAAGTACACTCTAAACAACTAAAAGAAAACATCAATGAAGAGATATCGGCGATCTCGCAGTCTTTATGCCGACGAGTATTCGAAAACTTCGGTACACGTTTAGAAGAGTGCAAAAATCGTAACGGTGGTCATTTATATAATATAATTTTCAAGAATTCCAACTAATTAGCTTTCTTGTGAATAAACGATTTTAATAAATATGTCAAATGTTTTTTTTCATACGATTTTAATAAATGTTAACTAATTCATGGCCCACCCTGTATTTTATATTATTTTTTTATTTCCAGTCATTTAAATTTTATAGAAATTTATTTTGCAATGTTAAGTAGAAAACACAAATCAGCGCCTAAATATGAGCCATTGCGAAAATGTTTTGTGTCTGATGTGCCATTAGTAATTTTTTGTGATGTGGCTTAATTACACACAATGCGGGCGAGGTGGTGATTTCCCGTAATGCTTCTCAAAGTTTTTTTAAATGCAAAAATTCATGGCCCACCCTGTCTCATGTCAGTATTTTTCACAATTATTTACCTATTGAGAGAAAAGCTACCTCTTAATGGAACATAATCGTGATTTGTCCGGTTAGTAGTGGAAAAAAGAAATTCATACTAGCCTTATCCAAGTACTTTTTATCATTACTATATTATGGATTTTCTTGCAGCTTTTTTTTGAAATCTCTACAACAAGCAATAGAAAACCCTATAGAACTAGCCTCGCTGTTCAAACGCTACGAGCGCAAGCTTCAAATGTATGTGATATACTGCAAAAACAAGCACGTATCCGAGTACATTGTATCCGAGTACCTGGACACGTATTTCGAAGAGCTCAGAGTACACTTAGGCCATAAGCTGCAACTATGTGATCTACTTATAAAACCAGTACAAAGGATAATGAAGTACCAGCTGATGCTGAAGGACATCTTGAAATACACCGAACGGTCTGGCTTGACGACGGAGATCGAACCTTTGAGACAAGCTTACAAGATCATGGTGGTGGTACCTAAGACTGCCAATGATATGATGGATGTCGGAAGGCTGCAAGGATTTGAGGTGAGTTGTATGGGGAACGGGTATAAAGCGGTAAATGTGTTGACGTGTAATACCATTGATTAACGCATTCTCCAAGGAGATGCCCAACCATATGCTTTATTTGGACATTCACTCACAATTTCCATAGTAACAGCCATGTTGTCAAGTAAGATCGCACTAATTCCCTTAGGAGTCATAATAATTATTTCACTTGACTTTTAAGCAAATTATTTATCTTATCCTTAAACATGACATCAAACGACCAATATGTATATAGTTGTAAGTTGCAAGTTGACTTGTATCTGCTTATGAAATATGTTAGTCAATGGTACTACCCACACAAGTCAATGAAAACATGATGCACGATCCATCACCAGTGCCCAAAAATTACTTGAAAATCTAATTCTAAAATCGGTATCAAAAGTTGAATGTAAATTTATGCCTAGGAGCCGAATGCATACCATTTTCCAAGGCTTCCTTATTCTGAGTATATCTTATTTGTACTGTGACTCGGGAGTCATCTGATAACTTTCTTAAGAAATAAGGCGGCCTATGTCGATCTTTATTATGTTGATATTCAGCTTCAATGCTTCCTTATTCCACTACTTTGTTCGAGGAACGCACCGACCTACTTATTTTGCTAGATCTATAGAAAATAGATTTTGCATCAACATTAATTGATAACATGGTTTTTCAAATTGAAAGATACAGAAATAATAGAATCTTTTGTACAGACAAACATAATGTGTCGACTCATGAGTACCTTGAAGAAAATAATGAAACAAGGAAGGCAATTGTGATAGGGTAGCTAGATATCTTCGTGAAGGAAAGTTTAACATGTATTTTCCAAGCGTTGGTAATTGTGAATACTGGAAGGACATCTCAAATAAAGGACCGTAAAACGATTCAACCTTCAAGCTTAACCATCGATCCTTCTTTTTTATTTCAGGGAAAAATTACAGCCCAGGGCAAACTGCTTTTCCATGGCATCTTAGCTGTATCGGACCTACCAGGATCAAATCCGATAGTAGGGAAGAATAAGGATTTGCACGTCTTCTTTTTCGAACAAAGTATTATATTCTCCGAGGTTGCGGGGAAGAAGACTCAGTTTACTAGTCCACAATACTTCTATAAGGCTCATATACAAGTAAGTTGTTACAAGATTGTTACTTTTCTCAGTTCAGATAATTTTTCATAATAATAATTTGACTAAATTTCTGGAAATGAATTAAATACGCAAGTAGATCGAATTTAAACATATAACGGGTGATTTTTTAAGAGGTATAGGATTTGATTTTCAAAAAAAACACAAAAAATTTGAAAAAACGATTAAATCTTTATTTGAGCCGATAGAACGGTCGATATAATTTAATGTTTAAAGATTATTTCATGTAAATGTTGGCCGCGGCTCCGCTTTAGATGGCCCATGCGCAAGGTCCAATTTTGGCACACTCTCTCCAACATATCGGCCGGTATCTCACGAATAAATGATTCAATATTGGCTTCCAGTGCGTCAATCGTTGCTGGTTTATCCCTGTAGACATTAGCCTTAACATGGCCCCACAAGAAATAGTCCAACGGCGTTAAATCACACGATCTAGGCGGCCCATTGACGGGCCCCAAACGTGAGATAAACTGTTCACCGAACTCGCCTCTCAATAGGGCCATTGTTTCGTGTGCGGTGTGGCATGTGGCACCGTCTTGTTGAAACCACATGTCAGCCAAATCCAGCTCTTCCATTTTGGGCAAAAAAAGTTTGTTTTCATCGCACGGTAGCGCTCGCCATTCACAGTTACGTTCCGGCCATTGTCGTCTTTGAAGAAGTACGGCCCGATGATGCCACCGGCCCATAATCCACACTAAACAGTGATTTTTCCGGGATGCATTGGTAGCTCTTGAAATGCCCCTGGCTGGTCTTCACTCCAGATGCGGCAATTTTGCTTGTTAACGTACCCATTCAACCAGAAATGAGCTTCGTCGCTGAACACAATTTTTCGATAAAAATGTGGATCTTCCTCCAACTTTGCCAGCGCCCATTCACCAAATTGGAAACGTTGTGGGAGGTCGTGTGGCTTCAATTCTTGCACCAGCTGTATCTTATAAGGTTTTACACCCAAATCCTGTCGCAAAATTTTCCACGTAGTGGAGTAACAGAGGCCCAATTGCTGCGAACGGCGGCGAATCGACATTTCACGGTCATCACTAACACTGGCGGATACAGCCGCAATATTTTCTTCAGTCCTCACTGTACGTCTGCGTGTTGGTGGTTTAATGTCCAATAATGTAAACTGGGTTCGAAATTTAGTCACAAGCTTCCGAATAGCTCCCTCAGTAGGCCGACCAAATTGCCCATAAATTGGAAGCAGTGCTCGATGCATTCTCTTAACCGAGCATAAATTTTGATAGTAGAATTCAATAATTTGCAAGCGCTGTTCGTTCGTAAGTCGATTCATGGTTAAATTCTAGACCAAACTGAACAAGTTTGACAATGACACAAGACACGATTCACGCGTTGTCTGTCAAAAGCAGTGTTGCCAAAAAGATACTAACGAAAAAATCACCCATTATAATATATGATATTTAAAATTCAAGCTAGTTCTTTTTTTTTTTGTTTTCCTGTACAGTACCTTTCAGAAAGCCCACTACTTCGAACGGGTCGTGTTCGAAAGTTGAAATTTATGGTAATGAAAATGATGCAGGAAAACCATATTTTAGCGTAAAAGTTTCAGTTGATAATTTAAGGTGACAGCTGGGCGCCATTTAGAACATGCTTTTAAATAGAATGGGAGGTTGTGTGATTCCTCATTTTGGAACTCCTTATAACTTTATGACAGAATGAAGAATACCCGTCTCTCAAAATGACGGACTGACGAGCGTTTTTGTACATCGAGTTGCCTATAACTCAACATTCACTATAAAACATATATTATTCATTTAACAGCCTCTTCAGTCATTTTAAAAGATCGTGATTTTATACTTTAGGGTGAAATTTTCAACTATTATTTTTTCGTTGAAATATAGTATTCATGGATCAATTTCGTCTTCGCGAATTTCTCTATCCAGTTATTTCGACATTTTGGTTATTTTGTAAATACTATGAAAAGTTTCGTGTGTCTAGTCGCATAACTAGTACATCTAGATTTCAAAAGGGAGTATTTGAATTTAATAAATTGAATAATGATATTAAACAGAGTTCGAATTTAAAAATGTTTAAGGCGAAATTAAAAAATCACTTTATAAATAATTAAAATACATCGTGACGTAATTTTAATAGACAAGAATGTAAAATTACTGAAAATGGATTGAAGAAAAATTTGTAACCGAATCATTATACAATATTGACATTGTAGTATTAATGCTAAATAAATCTTCAACAAACAAAAATACAGAACCAATTACTCAAGAAGTGTTTATTGTCCTCGTTTTGCCCTTCTTTAACTGATAGTGGCTCGAACTTCGATAAGAAGTTCACGATAATAAGCTGCAGTCATGGTTCTTACATTTTAGAGAAAATCAACTAATAAAATGCCTTTTCAGAACTCCATGTCCAAAACCTTGCCAGCAGACAACCTCGTCGTTGCTTTCACCAGTGTACTCTTTCATCTGTTTTCGCCACTCTTAATTGGACCTTTCCGATTTAGTTTAATATCATTTCATGTGATAAACCTTTCTTGAACTTTTTGGGTAACACTGTGATCAGAACAAGAGTGGGCATTTTATCGCTACTAATTCATTCCTGCTCTTCATCCTACAACGTCAATGCGGGTGTTCCCCAGAGATCGGTCTTGGCTCCGATATTGTACCTCTTACATATCAACGACACACACAGTAGTGTACCTTGACGAACAAAAAGCATCCTAGCGCTCATCCGGTTTGGTGGATGGCCGAGTTCTGAAAAACAGTCGTTTGTTTAGGCTAGTCGGAATTCAGATCACCGAGGACTTGATCTAGCACGAACACATCTCGTCAATAGCGGCAGCCTCACTCTATATAAGGCCCAGATAAGAGCTAGCCTCGGGTATTTTTCACAAGACTGATCGATGACCCTTTTGCGCAGGCGGGCCGTCGGCGATCTAGCTCTCTTATACCGCCTCACCAATGGGCTTTGCTCCTCCGAGCTCTCCTCCATGATGTCGCCACGCGATGTACCTTCCGCCTCCCATCCTAACCATGGCGAACTTCATACATCCAGAACTGGCCGATACGACCGCTCCTTTGTCCCTAAGGTGTCGATATTGTGGAACAATCTACAAGAGGACGCAGTTCTGCTAACCTTAGACAGATCAAATATCGGATTAACAAAGTTATAGCAGCCGCGGTGCCCTGGCATTTAGGCTTTCTGCCTGCGCGGCTGCTTTGGTAAAAAAAATTCCGCATAGAACCGCTCTTCACTGCTAGAAACTTTGCTGACTCCCCAAGCCGACTGGCATACATTAAAAGAAGGTGCGTTTATATGTGATTCACCTACGTATACATGAAATAACAGGAGTATCCGCAAAATTATAGAACAAAATTAGTGCAAGTATTTCGGACTTGCCTAGACTTCTTAAATTTTCCGTTTAGTACATGGGAATTTGTTCCAGGTGAACAAAATGTCTCTGGAGGCGAAAGAAGACTGCTTCATCCTAGAGTCCACAGATCCAAACATAAGGATCGGATTCACATGTCAAGCAGCTAACGAGGATCTGCAACGTCAATGGGTCACAACGATTCACGACATCTTGCAGACACAACGGGATTTCCTGAAGGCCATTCAGAGTCCTATCGCGTATCAGAAGGAGCTTACTAGAGAAGCGTGAGTATGCTACTTTGAATGGTTTTCCTAAAAAAAAATGTGCTCTACATGGGAATCCAAGCATTTGTGAAAATTTTACATATCTTCTCGATTGATACTGTATTTGGTGAGAAATATACATAGCACGAAAACTGCTAATCAGCAAAAATTGTATACACTCATATTCCATTTTATCTAATCCAGTAATCAGATGATTCAAACGCAGTATATATCAAAGTTCGCTAACATTTCTTTTATCACACCAGGAAGTGACTTCTTTATGAGCAAAAGTTTCAAGTCCAACTGCTTGGACACCCATGTAGAATCTTACTAATACAAAATGGATTTAGGGCGGTGACAGGGTATTGTGGTCAAAGAACATATTGTTAATCTAATACTCATACGTGTACCAAATGATGTTAATAGTTTTTAAGAGTTTCCAAATATATCAAAAGAAATTACTATTTGATATACAATAGCTTGAATTCATTAATTTTGCAAAATTGATAACGCAGTGCTTCTATATTTTATTTGTCTTTGTAACCAGAGCTTAACTTTGGTTATAGCAAATTATTTCCACAATTTTCATTCATTTCTATACGCTCAGAGAAAAGTCTATCAACATGATTTGGCATCTGAGTATCAAAATGTCTTGTATTATTTTTGTGTTGAAAATGAATAACAAAGCGTCATAATTATCATGTCGTTCAGAAATTATATTGGCTGACGATTTTATTGTAATCATGTGACTTCTTAAACGTGGTGTGAAAAAATATCAAGCTTCCTATTATTATTTGATATCCGTTTTTACAAAAAATAGTTCAAGACGAATTTTATTCTCTAACATGTTTTGTGATGTATTGTCTCAGTTATGTCAATAATTAGTGTTGAATATAGACATGGAACATGTGCTGTTTAGGTGAAAAACAATTTTAAAACCTACTTTTTGAACATTTCCGACTATCAAGAAAAATGTTCTTTTTGCCAAAAAATGTATGAAACTAAAAGATGATTGACAATTGAACTTCTCTAGTATTTGCTATGAAACTTTATGAGCACTACGGTCTAAACGTATGTATTTTCAGTAACAGCACATGTATCAAAAATATTTCCATTCACAGGCATTTTTAACATTTATGCATTTTTTCAATACTAGTAATGAGATATCTAGTACTCGCAAAATTGTAAAATAAATGCAAAATTCATTGACGACCTTATCATTCGCAGATGAGATTGTCATGACTTGGCTTGTGATTGAAGGTGATGGGACTAAAAAATTCTTCCCCAAAAGAATTTTTAACAAATGATTAATAACTCATTCAGATTGAATGAACCTCTTTCATGTTATAAAACGTTTCATGTAATCTATTTTGTTGAAAGTAACCTAATCTTCTAAAGCTATCTTACATATTTTATATTACATAATGTGCTATAAATATATTTGTATCTTTTTCTAATATATAATACAAAGGTAGTAAAGGATACTGATACTTACCGAGCACTGTGAAGTGTTGTACACAGAGTGATTTGTTGCACTTGAGTAAACTCAGATTTGAAGACCCTGCCCTAAGAACACTCGAACAAACAATTATTTGTTTGCGTACTATGGAGAAATTGGAAAACACGATTATGCAGGTAGAATGAATGTTTCAACTATACAGTCATACATGGATTCTTGAGTGTACTATTTTGCATCTCGTTTGGTGAAACATCGGCGCGACCAACGTATCTGTGACTTGAGATATTTTGATTCACGACGTTTTCTGTTACGGGTAAATAAAATCACAGATGCGGAAATATTGTTCATGCAAATTGGCGTAGCCTTTTGTGGTTTATTTATTTATTCATCTGATATTATATACAGTGTAACCCGCTTATAATGGATTCGGCGGGATTGTGACAAATAGTCTATTAAAGGCGGATGACCATCTTAAAAGAAACAGTTTTTTTTAATAAAAAAATCAGCAGAAATAACATATTAAAATATTCAAATGTGTTTGTTAACATATATTACATAAAGATACATACAAAAAAGTTATACGTAATTTTGAAATTTGCATTTTTTCAGAATCTGATACACATATTACAGGCATACGTACTGTTTAGGTATGAGTAAAACCCGTAAATTGTTTGGTAAAAAGCTAGTAATTTTCATTTGAACAGATTATTTTTTTGTATAATTATTTAGAACAGAAAGTTGAATTTTATATAATTTGGTCAGTGTGGCTGTACTGTCTTCTTCATGCTGCAAATAACGTTGCAACTTTTTCACGCAGTCTAATGCCTCCTTAGTTGTCACTGGAAGCTCTTCTTCATCGTTGTGTTCTAGTTCGTCTTCCTCGTCGTTATCAACGGATCCTTCATTAACCAAATTGGAGTCTGACAATTCCTGTGTTGCTATTAAATTATTGTCAACATTTACATAAATTTGTCTATATTCAGTAAACTATTAATTTTCAGTGGAACACTTAATCTTCTTCAAAACGTTGACTATTTCAGTTATGTTTTTAACTAAACCAGCATGGCAAAAACAATTACGAATCGTGTCTGGAGTAACCAATTCCCATGCAATAGTCAGCAAGTTTATAGCATCTAACATGAAGACAGCTTTGGTAAAGTTGACATTTTGAAGCGCCATGATTTTCATCAACATATGTTTCCGATACATTGTTTAATATTCCAAATGACTCCCTGGCCCATTGGTTGCAGAACTGATGTCACATTGGGTGGAAAAAATTGAAGGTTGATGTTATTAAATGAAATATTTGGATGAGCGGGGTAGTTATCGACCAAGAGCAAAATTTTACGATTTTTCTTAACAAGTTCAGGGTCCCACTTTTTTAAATATTCTTCAAAAATTGATGAAGGCATCCAAGCTTTATTGTTTCCAACATAATCGACGGGAATTGTTTTAACATTTTTGAAACACCAGGGACTCTTAAATTTCCCTGAAATAAAAAAAAGGTCATAATTTTTTCGCAGCACTGCCATTGAATATCAAAAAAATTGGAACATGAATGTCTATTCATTCAATAACCTATTATCAATAGTTTCCGTTTTTCAGTAGCAGAAGCGTTAGCACAAATCATAACAGTTATTCGCTCTTTTGTTAGTTTCCCTCCATTGCAAGTTTCACCGTTTAATTTAAGAGTTACGATTGCATCAGCTAAATCTACTTCAGGGAACTAGCAAAATAGCTAGCATATAATGGATTAAAATAGTCCGCAATAAGCGAGGGTCTATTTTATGCGAGTCTATATCCGAGGATTTCACATACAATTATTTATAGGACCTCAAATTGTGTCCATTATGTACGTGTTTCCATTATAAGCAAGTACATTATAAGTGGATTCCACTGTATTTTTTACAGTGTGTAATATTATTTTTTTTATATATCGATGAATAAATATTTATTATTATATCTATTACTTTATTCAACAATATTGACTACTCCAATTCCCGGTGTTTGTCAAACAAATTTGCGACGTTAATTTTACTAGAAAATGGTCATCAATCATCGAAATCGACTACTTCCGTTCGAGGTGTTGGTCTCATAAACAAGCCGCATAATTTCACAGAACTATTTTCATTACGACGACATCGGTTTTAATTATTTTTATAATAAACTTCCACAGTTAATTTCACCAGACTATCTTCTTTAATCTCCGATGGCATCCACTAATCTCGTTCAAGGTGCTTGACTAATCAAATTGCCAAGGTAATTTTTATTAAACCCCCGACGACATGGACTACTCCCTTATTACACACAACATAACATCCTTAGCTCGGAACTAAATATCCGAGCTACCGAAGTTCCCAAAAATCCTTCTATGTTACTCCTTTATCATCTTGTATGTTCCTTATCACTGACGCTGAAGACAATGGTCACTAATTCCGAAGTTGATGCTTAATGATCCTCCTAAATAAGTCTAATTAACTTTAGATTGCAAGGTTAAATGTGGAAAAATCATACATTTCATTGGCAGTTCTCCAATTCGAATCTCAATCAAGTGTAATAAATCACCTGTATCAAACAATCAACTCACTCATGCTCTAAGTACTTGCTTGAGAGAAACTGATGAATGTAATCCTTCAACTTCGGTGTAACAAACACACTCAAACCACATACACTCACATAAAATGGTGATGAATCAATCAATCAAAATGCACTAAGTAGTATTTCATCAATTTCCCTCCTGGAATATGTTTGCTCAACTATACACATACATTTATCGCTGTCAAAAGAATGATGCTCATCAATAAACATGGAAAAACATATTGTTGAAGTGATGCTACTCATTTATTGGTGGGCCTAAGTGTTAATCAAAAAAGATACATATTTTTCTGAACCTATAGCTATTAGAGTTTTGTAGAGCATGGGCTATTTTTTACATTCCCTTCTAATACAACAATGATTCGGTTAAATATTGCCCAAAACAGAACTATTATTAGTTAGAGAGTTGTAGATTCAAAATGAAAATTGGTTTTTTTTACATAAATGCGTGCATGCAGATACAGAGCAGTCATAGAAAAAGATGATATAATTAATAACGTGATATTTTAAAGAATGTTTGAAATGATTGCATTTTTATAGTCGATTTTGATTGCTATTCTGGTACCTAACTGATACCTAACATCTAGGGTAAAAGTAGAGTCACAATCTAAACACAGGGCATCGAAAGACTGATGACGTCAAGCAACTTATTACGTGACAACTTTGCTGCGAAATTTTATGTTTGAAGTTTGGAAGGGGCTTTTCCACAATTCATGCGTTGTTGAAACAAAATTATTTAGAATTTTCCTCACATATTAGGATACATTATTCTAAGAAATCAAATATGATGAATTTGCAAAACAATTTTGATCCACTTTGCGCAAGTTTCGTAAATATTGAATATTGTTTTTTAATTGTCCTAATCTTATAACTCATGAGTATCATTTTAAGCCCATAAAAAGCAAGTATGATAGTTTATCAAGTTTTTGATAGTATCAGGAGAGCGATCTTCAACCGAATCATTATGAAACTTGTAACTTACCATGTCTTCTATGCTTTCTGTTGTTACCTATCCGTTTTAGATGCTTAATTAAAAGTCAACCAACATATGTCAGAAAATGTGATAAAATATGCAGTAAAAATTAAGTTTTAGTTTTAGCTGGTAAGTTGCAAAACAGTATACCATATAATCCTTTTTAAAATAACATACGCAAGTGAGATTATGTGTTTTATTATTTAATTAAGTTATATGTGTACATAGGATGTATGTTTGTACATAACATTATATTCATTGAGCGATCGAATATAAATTTTCAATAGAATAAACATTAAAATAGAACCTGGCTTTCTCTTTACAGATGTCCTCTTTTTATGGTCGTTGCTTTTAAGTATTTTAATTTTTACATTCATTTTGCATTTTTGGCATCTGTACCTTAAGTTATCTCATTTATAATTGCTTTTTTGTTATTTTATTTTTTATTATACCCCTTGGACATGTAGACATTTTTAAATTTTATTTTTTTGCATTTATCTGTTCTATACGTTTTTTTACAATTATTATTTAAATCATAATACTAAAATTTTAAGCATGCTTTCAAATTAATATGGGTGAGGTAAGTTACGATTAACTGAAACCAGTACAAGGTATTTAGCTCCGCACACTTATTTTGCTTCTAATATGTATGTGTATTTATAGATAATTCTTACTACTTACTGTTTGGTACTGTAGAGAAAATCTAAATACAAAATTAAATTGATTTTTTTGTACACTTTAGAAGCGTGACCTAAATGTTTTCCTATTCCTATGAATCTGGACTATTTTACCATTTATGTAAACTCTTAGGATGTATCTGATTTTTAAGTTGAGCATGTATATCGTTTTGATTTTTAAATCTATTATTTTTATTCAGCTTTATATGTATTGATGTTGTGGCAGCATAGCGCGTTTGAGAATTTCTAGCCTAACATGAACAATTATTACTCTAGGTCACTGTCAAACTCGATGTGGGATATCACTAGCCGTCATGCAGGCATTCCTCCTCTGCCCACGTCTCCATCCATAGAAAGTGGAGGGAAAAGTCCTCGAAAGCCCCACTATGTTCAAAAAGCTAATACTATAGGAATTCCTACAGAAGGCGAGCTAGAAGCAGCTGCTGCAGCTAGTGCTAAAGTCACTGGTATGGCTAGTCCTAGGTATGTATTACATCAATTTTTTGATGTCCAAAATTAATCATAAACGCTATAAAGAAGGAGCTGTTATAATTTTTTTAAAGTCTGGATCAATACATAAATGCTCACTTGCATTACAACAAATTTGCTCCGCAACATGCGTCATGACGTGTGTGAGGAACTTGTACCGGTAGTCCATCATGTCACATCAGTAACTTGTCTGGAAGTACTCCAAGTTGCTGGGAAGTGAAATAGGTTCTTGTTAGAACCGCATACATCTTTAAAACAAAAGATTCATTGAAAAAATCAGTTTATTTTTCTGCTTCTAGAATCTATGTCATGACATGAACTAAACATTTGAACGAGGCAGCCGCTATAATTTTTCAATAGATAAGACAAATAGATAGAAAATGAATTGTTCATTGCAAAGCCAACTGAGATAAAATATGAGGTATATTTGCAGAAAGAATGTTTTTTTCAATGGTCAGGCGATAGCTATGCCCCCTAGCGGTTACGAAACAACGTAAAGCTAAATTTTAATGTAAAATACGAGGTTTGTAAATTAAGTGATGAGGCTGGCTACGTAGCGTTCGATCTGGCAACACTGAAGGCGCCGGGCTGGGACAAGAGACAAGGAAGATGTGTTTTGCCTTCAGTACAAGTCTGAACTCGCTCGAGTCATTTGGTTGTCCGTAGAGACTTTTTTGTGAAATGGGTGTTTTATAAATGGATGACATCAATTTCGGTCAACGGTGAACTATCAGGTTTTGATTCAGTCTTGGGCACAGTGCTAAACTTCAGCGGGCCTACAGAGATATAGTGTCAAAAGCCCAGGTTTTTCGGTGGTTTAAAGCATTTTCAGAAGAGAGAGAGTCAATTGAAGATGAACCACGAAGGGGAAGGCCTTCATCTTCAAAAACCGATTAAATTATTGACGGAATCCGAGATCTTGTGCGTTGGTCTTGTGTGTCGGTTGACAGTCTGGATGATCGGGGAAGAGTTAAATTTGACTCACATCATCGTGCATCAGATCAAGAACTACTTGGTCCTGCATCACGATAATGCTCCTTGTCCCACAGCAATGTCAATAAACGAGTGTTTGGCCAGTAAAATCATTCAGCCTCTTTATACGCCTGGCTTGAGTCCTTGTGACTTTTTTCTCTTCCCGAAGTTGAAAAATCTCACCTCAAGGGAATTTTGGAACAGTCGAAAACATTCAAATGGCTGTGAGGAGTGGAAAAACCGGCTCCAGCGCTGTGTAGCTTCAAAAGGAAGGTATTGTGAGGGTGACAATATAAAATTATAATTATTTTTGAATAAAAAAATTAAAAATCAGTTTCATCATTTAATTTACAGACTTCGTATTTTCAAATCGTGTCATATTGGTACAGTTTATACAACTTTTCTTATCCAGTAGTACTTGAAAATTGTTATCTTAGCCTATGTCTCAATATATTTCCATAACCAATAAAGATATTGATCTGCAGTTTCAACCATTTTATAGGATTTCTTATGCACTTGGCGACCAATATAAAAAAATCATATCGTTGTACAATAAAATTTTCGAAAACACCGAAAAGAAAAACGCTGACACATCCACAAAGCGTCATCTAGCGGCGACAAACTGAACTCTAACGAGATTGGACACTCATTAGGAATACTTTTTCAAACGAAACCAAAATCATCAAATTCGGTGCAGCCAAACAGAAGTTGCGTAATTTTTCTGAAATGACATGCAATCATTTCTCCACCCTATGAAAACATACCCTATATGATACCTGCATTGTTCTAGTCCTAGGTCAAAACCTCACTTTTTGGAGGGTCTACGCAACACACTACGACACAAGCACAAAAGTGACAGCGTAGTACTTGAAGCTGCCAAAGAGGGAGATAAGAGTGATGCTCAAAGAAGATGGTCGGAAGCCAATCACTCACCGGTAAGTACACTTCTACGTTCATTAATTTTCTATCCAAGGCCTAGATAAAACTCATGGGAATTTTGTCATCACATTAAATTTCATAAAAGCAAAGATACGTATTGCTTGCACAAATTCGGGAAAGATATTTATGATTGATGATGTTAGTCTAATCATATACCCCTGGTATGTGAAATAATTGTAAAGTCTGCTGCAAGTTGTTCAAGGGGCTATTCAAAACAGGGACGCATAAAATGAGACTTACAAAATGAGACCACACGTAGAAAGATTTAGAAGTATGAATCCTACGGATTTGAAGAATTTCAAGTAGTAGCGTGAAATTATCGTCGCATCACCAACAAGTGCCAAAACCTGCATTTTGCCTCGTTTTTCGGCCATAACATTTTTGCTATTCGTCGGATCTTTTTGCGTGTGGTTTCATAAATACTTAAAAATCTCATATGAAAAGTTTTTTGGATCCTGTCAACACGTTCGATTGAATCCCAAAAAAACACGTTTTCTCATTCTTTGTTGTAAAAAAAAAGTTTTCACACAAAAATTGGTGTACCCATTTTATACGTCCATATTTTGAATATAAATACCCCCTTGAACAACTTGCTCCATTAAAACCTGACTTTACAATCATTTCGCGGAAATTTGCTAATACGACTAGACTATTTATAGAAATGTTGCTAAATGACTATCAAAATTCATTAAAAACGGGTAACAATCCATTGTTGGGGCAAGTGACATCTTAGCAATTATGCATGCAAGGGACACCAATATGTCACGTGGTACTGCCGCCTGGCAGAAATCACGGGCATAAATGCACGCTGATACGGACGCTAAAACGGCGGGCTTTTAACGGGTATAGCAGGATACGTTTTAAGATGTTATGCGGACGCTAAGTGCACGGCGTTGACAATCATACCTACTATTAGAACGGTTGCAATGGGATCGACGTTTGAACTAATATATATATATATATATAAAGAGAAAATGATAATGCGGAGAAAGGTACATAACAAAAAGTAGGAAAATAATGGGCAAAATCCGCAAAAAGGAGGAAAGAGGATTCGAGCAGAAAATAGGATAGGTAACCCGAGCGATACGAATTTCTGCTGATTGGCTTCATCAGGCCCAAAATGAATGCACATATGCAACTACAAAAGTAGATACACATTCCCACACATCCGGATACGGGTGTAATCAGGAAACGAAGATGGAAAGGGAAAAAATCGACACACGAAGTCCCCAACAAGAGCCAACCTACATATTGTAGTATAAAATGGCTAGAAGACCTCGAATGTTCAAGGAGACACCTATCCTATATTCTGCTCGAACCACTTTCCTCCTTTTTGCGGATTTTGCCCATTATTTTCCTACTTTTTGTTTTATATATATATATATATATATTCGGTTTAGACTCCCATCGCTAAAAAAACTTAGCGTTCGTATAAAATGTTTCTTAGACACTGCATACGTTTAATTCTTTAACCGATGATGTTCTCTAGGGCAAAACATTTATTAGATTTACTTATTTAGTTGTAGAAAACCAATTTAACAATGCGTTATTTAGAATTAGATACTGAGTATTTTCTTTTTCTTTAGGTGACATAACAAAAAGCTTCCAATGAGTAAACTAACCAATAATGAAGACTGTGATGCTATTTTAAGTTACACGATAAAGTACACCTAATTTAATGTACATTGCTTTAAATCAATTATAACGGATATTTTGGAATGAGCATAGACACTTTTAAAAAAAATGGTAAGCATGATGTAGTTGTTGTGGTAGCACTTCAGAGCCGTAGAAATCGAAAAGCAGTACAAATCTTAGTTCACACAACATTTATAAAAAATGATATTTAAATGTTAAGATAATATCATACTCGTAATTGAACTGCAATGTCAATATTTTCAAAAAAATTTTGTGACGTTTATTTAACTTTTTTACTGGTTGAAAGTTGAGAAAGTGTTGATTTAACTTTGTTCACCAAAACAGCTCGAAGCAACAATATACTGCGAGTTAGATTCTTTCCGTAATTTCGGGTTCGCTGTCAAAGACATTTTATTCTACGGCCCTGGACTAGTCACTGTAGTTTGTTGTAGAGTGCAAATACTACTAATAAACTAATATCTTCGAAGATAACCCAAATAACAGTCTTTTTACTAACCCTAGGTTTGACGTAAGGAAAAAAGCAATGTTTGCTTAAGCTTGATATCCCTATTATTAAGCTTACGTAAAAATTAACTTGCTACTGCTAAGTATTCTAATTTTTCATGCCATTTTTGTATGATTGAAATTGTAAAACTCAGGTAGAAAATTTTAAAAATGTTCGTTATCTGCGGGGCAAATTAACATCCAATTGAATTTTGAAGTTAACAATGAATATACGTTTTTCATAATATAGACACTTCACTGTGGAGTACTTATAGTAAGTGTTACTGATACTGAGTTCATACAATTCTGACTTTGTTGACATCTGATAATGAGATATCCATTTCTAAGAAATCAGTTGAAATCAAGAGAATAATAAACAAACATTGCAATTCTCGTTATTCCTGGAAGTCGCTTAGTATCTGCTACGAATTAGATAACAAACGCTTGCAGAGCATTTATTCAATTTCGCTCTAAAGCTTTCTTTCTATTGTATCATTTCTACCAACAGAGATGAAACGAGTATGTTAGTAACAAAAATATCGATATGTTAGAACAAAATATCATCAAGACAGAAACATGACACTTTACAACTACATAGCCATAGGCTAGTTGGTTTTCTAGCCTAGACCCTTTATCGCTTTGAATATATTTTTGAAATTACTAGTACGAGTATGAATACGCCATATGGCACTGGGAATCCTGTTATTCATTTATTCAAAATACCGACTCATTGTGGTATTTTTCTCAATTTATTTTATTGCAATTTAGCATAAATGTCATCATTCGCTAGTTTTGTTGTACATTTTTCCACAAAAACATTGAAATGAAATATTTCTATTAAAATCAAAAATTTTAATGTGATACGTAAAAATATTCAGCACACTGTTGCTCACTTGTACTTTTTTACATAAGCGCTCAGATTTCTGCAAAATATCGTTTTCACGAACTGTACCCTGAATGATTAATTCTTCAAAACAATTACCGAATTTTCTGAGTGTTCAAACATATCGATACATTAAATGACTTTTCTTATTACGTACAATAGACAATATTCGAAAATAGTGTTTCAATGTTGTAGTGTGAAATCCACGTAATGCCACCTGGGACACAAGCTCGACTGGTCTGCGAATGGCCCGAACTGAGCCTTGGCGAAATCGTCACCGTGATACGTTATGAAGCTACTCAAGGCTACTTGGTGCGCACCAATGCTAATTTGGAGGAACTTTGGGTACCAGCTCACATTTTGTCGAATCACAGCCGGAAGCCTTGGTCGTTCAGGTTTCGCAAGACTAGCAGACGATCTATCGATTCGAATGCTAACCAAGATGGGACACCTACGGGCCCTTTGCCCGAATTTTGCGACAGGTTGAAGGATCTCACTGTGCAAAGTGGAACCAAGGTCATATTGAAGTGTCGTGTGAAGAATTGTGGCCAGAGTACCAAATACAGGTGAGAATCATCATACAATGTTCATAAATCCTCGGCTTAGTGTCAAAAGACCATCTTCTATCTCTTAGTTGTCGTGAAATGAGGGCTGACTACCATTAGACTCACTCTATTCCCATTTGGTGTCAAAAATCCATCATTTAACCGTAAGCTTTTATTCGGAATGTATACATGTGCGAAATTTGAAAATAGTGTGTTTTGAATGTTGGGATTTTTCTTTCCGGGAATAACTAACTCTAAAATAACAAAACGATTGGGCAGTAAAACAACACCGGAAAAGTAAAAAAAAAATGAAAAAGAGAACTCACTATTCCTTTCAATACAAAAACACAAGTGTGCTGTCGTGCTCCTCAATTTGTAACATTTGGGCTGTGGAGGTGTTCTACTCATGTTATCCTACATATGTCCTTGGTACGAGATGAACAAACTGGCACCGGATGGAAATGTGCGGTTCGGTTCTTCCAAATCAGCTTTAGAAGCAACAGACATATTAACGTCGTATCTTTCCACCGAATCCTTTGCTGGAAGCAGAAATCCAAATTTGGTAACAAAAGTCGAGTATGTTAGGATTTTTAGGAAAATTTGCTTATTTTTTATAAGAACTTTCAGATCATCTTGTATAATGTACACGTAGTTGAGTCAATATTCGTGACACAATGTTTTCCTTGCAGCTGGAAGAAGTTAGAGCCCAGTTTATGCGTTTTAAGAAACGGTCGCTTCGTGTTGAGCGACAACGATGAAGGCGTTGCGACATTGTGCATCGAAAACGTAAAATTATCAGACTCTGGCACTTACTCCTTCACTCTCACAAACCAGTATGGTTCAACTACGTCCACAGCAGTGCTGACGGTTACCAACAGTTACCCACCTCTGCCAGAGCCCAAGATACAGAACATCACATGTTCCAGTGTCACACTGGAATGGGAAACAACTGTTGAAGACAATCAGGTATGAATTAGAGGGTCTCTCTGTACTAATTAAGAATTTTAATATTCCTTGTTACTCAATTTCTAGATGATAACGGTTATTTGCAGCCGCAACATTATCGAATACTACGAAACAGCAACTACAAGAATTTCTTAAAATAGCTCATTCTCAAAGCATTTTGAGCGAGTCTAATGATACTATGTATTAGATTTTAAAAGTATACGATTTAAAAAGTAATTGGTATTACACCAATGACTTGGCTAATATTAATCAGTCTTTTTTGTTGCAATGTTAGGTTTTCGTGGAGTATTGCAAACTGGGCTCAGGAGAATGGATCTCTCCGAATAAACGTCAACCTGTCAGAACAAACATTTTCACGGTAGAAAGTCTAATACCGGGAGAGACGTACAGCTTCAGAACGACTTCAATCCAGAGCAACGTGGCAAGTTTGCCCAGTGTGGCAGTTACCCTACCGGTATGTAACCCCTGTAACCCGTAAACTACCTGTATTAAAAAAAACATTTTTCTGTGTATCAGGATCATAGGAATTTCACCGAACTGGCGATGGACGCAGACACGAAGTCGCATTATAGCATCCATCGTCCACTGGCGAGGAATAATTGTAATCGCGAAAATGTTCAAAAATGTGAAATTCTTTGGGTGCTATATATACATATACAGCACGAAAACCTATGACACTCATTTCCGTCGGTCTGTCGATCTGTTCACTAATCCTTGGCCCGTCCATAACCCGGAAAGTAGAAGACGAAATTTTCATACAGGATTACTACTGTGCCAAGGACAAAAATGCTTAGTAACGCCCTCGTAACTAGAACCTTGTGAGACACCCTTGTACATCGGCGCTTAAAAATTAAGAATATCGGGAGCGTTTACGGCGTCATCGAAAAACACACCCATTGAGAAGAATCGACCACCACCTAGACAACTTCGATGAAGGTTCGCGTTCTGTTTGTAAAATGAGTCGGCGATAGTGCGAGACACGATAGTCCAGTTAACATGGTGATAAATTTGTAATAAATTAGCCGCAAGTGTTGTAATAAATTACTGTGATAATAATAAATTGGACTTTAAATACGTTGTTTTCGTTTATGGGGCAAAAAATGAAATAAGTTCTTGATCATTTTCAGAAAGAAATTTCAGTGGTTAAAAATTGGGGTTAGGTGTTGTGGGTGTTGAGATAAATACGCAATGTGCAACCGGCATACTTTTCAAAAAGATAGCTGATAGTCATCTCAAAAAAATCTTGACGATTTCGTAACATTGCAGAAATATACGAGTATGTCTATATTAGCATTTGTAATAATTATGTTCGATTTGGCTTTGATAAATAATATTCCATCTAAACTATGTTTATAGGTTGCTGAAAACCTTCGGTGGCAACAAGAGCAGTTCAAGAGGAGGTACGTTGAGCTAGAGGAAATAGACAGAGGGAGGTTTTCTGTGGTGCGGTTAGCGAGAGATCGAGGAACAGGCATGGAAGTAGCTTTGAAGCAGGTTACTAGGCGAAAACAACCGCATGGAGTGACGCAGGCGGAGTACAGCCTTTTGGCTGGAATGCAGCATATCAACATTATCAGATCACTGGCTTTGTTTGATAATGCTCCATTGCCGGGGATTGATACCATCGTACTGGAATTGTAAGTAATCGTCACGGATGTGACTTATTTTACATATAAGTATCTGAAATGCACTTAGAACATACAAGATACGTATTTTTATCTTGCATTTAAGATATTTTTCTAAAATTGTATTTGTATGTTGTATTTAGATACCGTTCGTTTGAGTACTCGGTAAATATTATGTTTGCTCAAATACTTGTAGTAATAGTTACTCATGCGCTTATTCACATAACGCGCCCTTGTAAATTTATCCTAGGGCCAAGAATGTAAAAGTACAATATTGGAAGTGTTATGAAGAAGAATTTACGAATCTTATTGCATGTTATTACAGGACTAGAACTTAGAAAACAGTGTAAATGCAGGGTCTCCTGGCAGCACCGCTGTTTTAGAAAGTCTGTAATACCTGAATAATAAATATATCTTACTAAAAAAAATATTTTTCAAAGATAACACCTGTTTGCCAAGTTCTGCTCCTGTGGGGTAGGATATTAAAGCCTCATCGAATAAAATGAGTGATGGAATGATTAAAGAACTGCTTCTGCTTATTTCAGTTAAAACCTTCAACGTATGATATTCTGTCATATTTGTGCAATCAAGTCGTTAATACTTCATGTAGTAAAATAAACTCAATAAAATTCCATTTTCTAACAAAAGTATTTTATCTTTAAAAAGTATTTAAAAAATACGTATTTTATATCTCGTTTTTCAGATACTATTCCAGAAAGTAATTTTTCTCTGACAACTGAGATAGTACTGATTTTATAAGTATCTTGAATTTTGTATTCCGGATACTTTGAATATTGTAACTTGTACATCACTGGCAATAATACAGTAATGTTAGGAAAAATGGAAACGTTTACCAAATCATAAGCTCTCCATCATTTTTTCTATCTGTCGTCAGAAACTCCTCAACTGGTGTACTTTTTCGAGTTCTGTCATAGTTATAACATCTATTAACATTGCAAATGGCATATTATTCCATTTCCAGGGTGAAAGGACCGCAGCTTCTGAAGTATATCTGTGAACAAGACGAATTCACTGAAGATGATGTCAGACGCTACATTCGACAACTGATTTCTTCCTTAAATTGGCTGCATACCAATAACATAGCGCATTTGGATTTAAAGGTAAGACAGCAGTTAAAAACTTGCATGAGTTTATTTTGAGAGGACAAGTGTACTTTTGCGTTTGTTTACAAAAAAAATAGTCGATTCAAGTAACAATAAAAAATATTTGTCTTTCAAAACTTCCAACACACAAAAATTCCATAAATTTTGCGATATGCCTTATATAGTATAGAATAAGGCTTAATAAGTCATCCTTTTGTCTTGGTTCATTAGGCCCTAAAATGTCAAAGGTCAAAATCGAAATTTTTATTTTTTTAATGTCATTCAAAAATCATTTGTGGCTCAGAAGCAAGCAACTAAAGTTGAGCAATACCCACGAAGATCCACAGCTTATCTCTCCACAAATCTCATTAAAATCGAATTAGTGGTGATGAAAAAGCTACAGGCAGGTTGACAGACAGATTGAAAGGAATAAGTGGCATTGATTTCTGTTGTGCAAAGGCCATGGAAGTATCAAAACATTTATATTAGCCAACTTATCTACCGAAAATTACTTTTGTATGTAGACGACATTTGTATTATATTAGCGTCTTCAAGGGAAAATTAAAAGTTCAGTAAATGGTGATTTAAAAACATATTCTTTTTTACGTTTCCATTATGGTTTGTATTATACTTCATTTTTCTCTATTTTAAACTGTATATACTGACTTATCCAATGTCTACAATGTAGATCTAACTGGACCAATAAATGAATCTGAATCTGAACTATCGCTAATACGTGGGATATAACTACAAGTTATTTTATTAACTGTCGTGATTACTGATTTCTTTTTTTAATTCTAGCCTGAAAACGTGATGGTAGACCTTTCCAACTCAACCCCAATCTTGAAACTGGTCGATTTCGGTGACTCCGTCAACACCACGAAAAACGTCATACTTCCACCTGCCTGCCTAGAGTTCGCCTCTCCTGAACTGGTCCTTGGCCAACCTGTGGGAAGACACACTGACTGTTGGGCCACTGGCGTCTTTCTCTACGTCTTACTCAGTGGAGTCAGCCCTTTCCTGGACGACTCAATGGAGGAAACTACAGCGAATATCCTCAAATGCGACTACTGCTTCCCTGAAGAGTACTTCGCGGATATTTCGGAGCAAGCCAAAGACTTGATCAGAAAACTGCTGGTAATTGCGCCTGTTCAGCGGTTGGATATGCTCAAGTGTCTGGAGCACAGTTGGATCACAGAAGTAAGTGTCCTTATATTAAGCGAGTCACAATAGGAACTTCGAGATTTTTTTTCATATAACCAAATTTTTTAAAAACGCCAGGCCTTTCTGTATCATTAAAGTTTAGAAGTATGGGAATTATGTTCTAGCTATATACAGATAAATATATCTACCACTGACGAGAGATAAGCGCGAGATGCATGGGTATGTTATAAAGAGATAAAAACACCACGTTGCCTAGCAATCCGGATGACAAGACCACGTACACAGTTGCCCCGTGCCTTTTTCTAACATACATATTGCACGTTTCTCGCGCTTTCTCTCATCAGTGATATTTGGTCTTCTCTGTATACAAATAAGGACATTCAGTCCAGTCTATCAGCATCACGACTAAACCACAATATGGAGAGACGTAAAAATGTAAACACTTCCTAATTTAAACCAGAGGAAAGTTATATCCGCGAAACTATACACAGTAGTCAAAAAGCATGGATAGATCAAAATATCTCGAAAAATACGTTTCCCAGGCAAAAAGGTTGAGGATAAAGAAAAATGTTGTGTAATAAAATTGTAATGTTTGAAAAGATTCGTCTTAAGGTGATTTTGAACGTGACCTTCACTACGATCTTCATTCTCTTTTGAAGGTTATTAATTTTCTTAAATGGAAGCCCCTATTTTTGTTAACGGAAATAAAATAGCAAGAGATTATATGTCCAAGAATGTCTATGGCATTGACTAAGAAACATCAACATCATTTGAAGAACAAATGAATTCTTGACGGGAAACATCTATTTTTTATTCCTGGAATATAAATTGCGGATAATTACGTTCAAGTGTATTTTTGCTAATGAACCTGACCGTCACCATGGGTACATTAAAGAAAAATGTGTTAATTTTCCTAAATTTTGCTGGCGTACCCACAGGAGCTAAGGCACCAATATTTGATGTCCTGTATCTCAAATAGAAAGAATATTCATGTCTTTGCACCTATTGGAACATTTGATTAACACAAAATGAACTATCACCATACAGCGTGTTCAATAAGTACTACGACAAACTTAAGGAGAAGGTAGGCTTTGGACTGATCTCCCAAATAACTAAAACTTACCTATATATAAAAGTGTTACCGTTTTTGAGATATTGAATGTTTTCTTAAATTTAAAAAAAAATAACCTTTTCATCTGTGCTATTTAGCTGCATGTACAGATAAGGTTATACTTTGTTTATTTTTTCTATAAAACACTTCCAGATAGTTGCTTTATCATATACAAATGTAATGTAGTTAAATGATATTAAGGAACCATGATCAAATAAGGACTATTTTGCCATTGATAACCTTCCGATATTTTTTTTATTGTTGTTGACTAGAGTCCGAATTCCAGTAGGTGTCATAGAATAATATCAGGAGCATTTAATAAAATCATTGTACTATTTAGCATGTCATTGGTCGGTAACTTAAATTTAAACAAAATAATTACATTGTAGTGTGTGTCAGACACTTACAAATATCACTTTTTTCTATTCCAAATAGTACGTGTGGCGCCTTTCTGAAATCTGTATTAAATTAGCAATCTTTTATTCAATAAATGCAGTTATATCCCAGTACATTTTTGGAGGTCAGTCCAAAGCCTACCTTCTCCTTAAGTTTGTCGTGGTACTTATTGGACACCCTGTATATATGAATTTGACTGGTGGCCAGATTCCATACTTCTTGTGTCTGGTACTTTCCGGGTCTTTCGATAACATATGCACCATATAATGTTTGAGTCAAATCGTTGAAAAATAACGAGAAATTAAGACAATTTATTATTTAAATCCTAAGTATCTATCACCCTTGGCGGGGCTGGCTGTTTAGTGGAGTGGCTTGCGCATCGAGCTACTAACTGATCGTCCCGAGGCTCGCGGGTTCGAATCTGCGCCTCTAAAGTTAATCCCGAGTCAGGTATATTATCTATATCACCAGGGCAACACAAGCACCTTACATCACTGGAGCTGGTTTAATCAGTTGTGGAGTGGAACAGTGTGACACTAGGGTATTGACAAAAATATTTAATGGTGTCCTAGATGCCAGGCTTCGGCTCCCCACTGCTACTACAAAGTGCCTATTATGAGACAACACATGAAAATTTTCGAGATTTGTGTTGTTTGTAAACAAAAAATATCCGATATGGTAAAGCTGGTTCTGTATAACTAATCTTATATTATCTTTTGTTTTAGCCTCAATCAACAACTGCAATACCTTCTTCCCGCCTGAAGACCTTTATGCATCGGAGACACCCTATGAATGTTCCGACAACACCGACTAGTCCTACTTATTACGACGATTTCGTGTCTCACCTTTAGCACGTATCAAAACTATTCAATAATTCGGTCATCCAAGACATTACACTGCATCAGTTGTATTGTGAAATTAACTTTGCATGTGTTCAACATGATTGTCTCATTGTCCAATAATTTAAAATGTGTCCCGATGAAACACTTCATTATGAAACTACTAAAGAGTCACGAACTTTGGCCTACCAAACCAGGCTAAAAAGCTTTAAAATAAGCTAATCCTAAAATACTAAGTCATTTAATTTAGGTACTTGATAACCATAAACATTTCAATTTTTAAACGAGTTTTTAAGCACTCATTTTTAGGGTTTTTCATACATTAACATTTAAAGAAAAGTTATCAGAGACATTTTTGATTCATAGTGATTAAAAGAACCTGAGGAAAATTTGCCCAGAGCAAAAAAATACTTTTATTAAATTGTTCAAAAAAAAATTAGAAAACACTTTGTCATACTCGGTTCTGTATACTTTAATTTGTAGCTTTGGAATTTGTTTATCATATACAATTACTTATTCCATACTGATTAAATAATGACTTCCTTGATATCCGGTGATAATTTTTGAATTTTTTTTTTTTCATAATAAGGTTTGTAGAATTTCCCTTAACTTGAATTAGGAAGTAGCCGCTCGGTAATCCGTTTAAACAATTTTTGTAAACAATTCACAAACATTTAATCACACCGGAAAATTTGTTTTTTCAGGTTTTTTTGGATCATTCAGAACAAGGAAGACGCCTGTAACTTTTAATTTAATGTCTGCAAAACCTTAATAATTGATACATTCGATGCTCGAAAAATAAAATTATAATATTTGAGGTTGTCAAGTTCAAAATTAAAGTAAGATTCCTCCCTTGCAAGACCCCAAAGGGTATTTTAAGATTAGTTAATTTTGAACAAATTTCAACCTTTGCTAGCCCAAAATTGTCGAACTTTTAAGTTTCGCAGACTGTACGTATGATTGAAGAAATATTTGTGATATATTGTATTTGTATGCCAAAATGCGTCAGTTTTGTATAACGCGATTTTTATTTACAGTTTTAATAGACATTTTTTGGTATTATACCTTAAGTTCGATATACAGTTTTCTATGAGAATTTAAAAATTTAGTCTAATCTTTCACTTAAGGTAAAATAACGAAGAAGCTCATCAGCTTATTCAGTTTTATTCAGAATCTTGAAATGATTTTTAATACACTAAGCAATGTAGGTGTGCACCTGTCATTAGAAAATTTTATTTGAAGTGTAAGTTAGTGTAAGCAATTCACTATCTGTATAAGTCTGAAGTATTCGTTTCTTGGAAACATTTTATTATAGTCTTAGTTAGAATATATTGAATATTTGTGTTTGCGTTTGTAAGAAAAACTACTACTTTGTATGGTGTAAACACGATGTAATAAAATATGATTTGACTGTTAACTTATATATCTGTAAATATTGACAACAATAAATATATTTTATTTGTTATGATGTGTATTGCATAACGCCCGGCTCCTGTTTTCAGCTCCTTGACATTCTGTTTACAAAGTGCATTATCAGTTTGGAAATAACAAATTAATATACTGTTTATATTCAATTCAAATGTGATGACCTATTCGATTTCTGGACCACTTCCGTAAACGTGCACAATATGAGCGTCAAAACGCGTTTCTGCAATATGTGAATCACGAAATCCTGGTCTCACGGTATTGTTTCAGGTGAATAAAATAATCGCTGCTATGTTTATATCGAAGACATACTTTTTTTAAAGGCAATAAAAAAATTCTTAGCGTCATTAGTGAGAAGTGGAAATCTACCCATATAGGATTTTCGGCGATACTGATGTCAGAGGCTGATATATCGACCGATTATTTTGGTACAGTCTTATGAATTATGGAACTGTTTCCAAATACTGGTTCCCCATTTTTGAAAATTTGGTAATTCTTATAACGGATCCGTCACAAGAAACCTGAAAAACCACCGATATCTTTTTCTTAAAAACGGTCGATATCGAAATCAAAACAGGTAGCATTACATTGATGTACATGGAACAATCAGCACTATCGAGGCACGTTCCAATTTCCAAAAATATTGTATACAAAGGTGTAAAGAATTAGCTATATATTGCGTTTATGGCTAGTCTGCTTCTGGCGACGGTTTTCGCTAGGTAATACAGGGTGTTAGGGAAATAATATTCGTAACTTTGAGAGGTGATTCCTTGCATTATTCTAAGCAAAAAAGTTCATTATAACTTATGTCCGATAATCAATCGTTTTCGAGGAAAGTGAGTCGTAAGTAATTAAATTTTCTCAAACATTTGGCAACGCTGTAACGCAACCGCGAGGCGAGCGGACGATGACGGCAACTGATTCATCGAATTGTTTACGTTTCTATGATATTTTTGTTGAAGATATGCCTTGAATTATTGAGTAGTTTTTACACAATTTTTTGTGGCTAATATTTTTTATTTAATAACGCTTTCAGTACAGTACATTTACATAAAAAAAGACAGAACTTACCGGTACGTGGCGATACACACCACCAATTCCCACGATTATCAGTCACTGAAACGATGCGATGCACGAAAAAAGGAAAAAAAAACAACATCCGTAAATCACATAAAGTTACAGTTAAATGTATTAGTAATCACAACAAGACGCGATGATACATGCAGTGCAGGCGGGGTACGACAATGCCAGTTGTGTGAGGGATTGTTTGTCTGTTTTTCTTCGGAAAATTGTATTTAATAAGCAAGAAAATTATTTTGTTAGAGACAATTGAAATAAATAGATGTATTGATACATTTTACGCTATTAGGCATATGAATTTAAATTGTTAAGGTGAAAAATTAATTAATTTCATGACTGACAAATTTTTAAAAAAGCAAGAAGGTAGGTCTTTAGATTTCCCATCGAATGACACGCATTTGATGGCGACAATTTTTGAGTTAGGCGATGTTAAAACTTAAGCGACGATATGTGAAAATTATTTAAGAAAACCTTATTTCCAACGACGTCTCCTTCAGGGGCCTGTTTCTCCAGTATCAAGAGGTGTTTTGCAAATCGAGATGATCAAATACAATACTTTCAGAATAGTCCCAAAAGTCGCCCATTGAATCCTTGCCCAATGATAAGTTGAAGATGAAAGGTGACAAAAACGTAAAGTACTATACGAGGAGGTACCCAAAAATTACCGGAATAGCATTGCAGTGGGCGGAGCTTGTACAGCATACATTTCTGTCCCTAGAGGCGTACAACGCAACTCATTACCAGTTCAGTGCCATCCGAGTCGTCGATCTGGCTTGTTTCGTTCCTCTGTAGTCATTATTTTTGCTAGAGCTGTTTCGTGCTTGTTTCGTTTTTTACGATGGCTTCAGTGAGCAACGTGCTTTCTTCTGTTAAAAATGCTGCTGAAACTGTTTTAATGTTGAAAATAGCTTACAAAGATGATGAAATGGGAAAAACTCAGGTGTACGACTGGTTTGCTCGATGTAAAAATGGCAACATGTCGATTAATGATAAACCTTGCTCTGGACGTCCATCAACTGCCTGAATCGACGAAAATGTTGAAAAAAACTCGAGAGCTTGTGCTATTTGGAGGTTTTAAGACGATTGCGAAGCAGTATTCAGCAAAAAAGACCCGATTTGTGGCAGTCAGGAGACTGGTTGTTCCACCACGTTAATGCACCTGCGCACACAGCCATCTCTGTTCGACAGTTTCTGGCTAAAAGTGGCATGGGTCCGCTGCCTCACGCACCATATTTGCCCGACCTGGCTCCGTGCGACTTTTTCTTATTTTCACGGATGAAAAGGGGTATGAAAGGGCGCCGCTTTGACGACATTGAAGAGGTCAAGAAAAAAAAACGAGGGAGGAGCTGTAAGACATTTCTAAGGAAGACTTCAAAAAATGTTTCGAGTAGTGGAAGCACCGGTGTATTAGTTGTAGTGGACAGTATTTTGAAGGAGATAAGGTTACTTTGTGGAAAAGTTGAAAATAAATAGCTTTTAAAAAATAATTCCGTTTTTTTTTGGGTACCTCAAGAGAGGGAGGTTTGAACATTCTTGCTTGCGGTTAAATAACTATGATGCTTCCTACTCATCATTTCTATCAATCAAATGAAGTTCTCTGATACTGTTCGTCAAAAAGTATTTTTATCAAATTTGCTCACACCGTTAAAGGCGTGCGCGAAAACGTTTAGTTTTATATATAGTCAACGCCAAACAAAGTGGCGTGCACGTCATCAAGGTGGGTGTGTTGAAAAATTTACATTGTTGCCAAACTTTTTGTAAAATAATAAAATTTATTATTTACATATCTAGGTTTATAAGCAATATTAACCTCAAATGAGAACAAAAATAATAGTATAATAAAATTATAGATCTGTACTTGCATAATCATTAAGTATGACAATTATTGATCAGATGACACTATGAAACTACCATATTTAATTGATAGCTTAAAGGTACTGAATAAAAATCCAAATGGGGTCCTCCAAATTTTATGCATGGTATTTATTTTACAGAATTCATACAGAAAAATGCATTCTAAAATTAGGTAAGCTACTGGTGTAAGCTTTTTCTGTACAATAAAGTTAGTCGGAGTTTCTTTCTTCAGCGCTGCCTGAATCTGAATCTTCATCACTCTCAAAGTTGATTATTAAAGGTTCGATGTCTGGTCGATCAAAAATTCGTTCTCTTTCATACCATTTAAAAATTTCTTGCTCAGTATGTCGAACACTATTTTTCCACATGTCTGGGGTAACCGTTTGTAGAGCCTCGTTCCACATATCCAAACAGTCTTTTTCACTGTTACCATCTCTACCAATATGTCTGTTATAGTAACCTTTTGCTATGCCCCAAATTAACTCAATAGGGTTAAATATACAATGGTAAGGAGGCAGACGAGGAACTTTGTGCCCATGTTGTTCCGCCAATTCATCAATCACGTATATTTTAGGTGGTTTGTTTCTAAAAAAGCAGTTATTTTAAGAATAGGAATAAACAAAAGAAATATAAACTGTCGACCAAAATATATATAATTAAGAAGCATTATGTACCGAGCAACAATACTCAATAGCTCTGTTTTAAACATTGTGTTTAAAAATGGTATGTTTTGATTTGTCAACCAGTCTTGGATATTTTTTTTTGTCCATGCATTGTTGGGCACTTTGTTCAATATCATGCTGTGATAAGGGGCGTTATCCAGTATAATCATAGATGGACTCTCCAATTTTTCTAATAACTGATGTTGAAACCATTTCAAAAAATTGTCCTGGTTCATCTCTCCATGGTAATCGCTCAATTTTGTTTTCGAAGAAAATATCGCTTCACTACCCTCAATAAACCCATTTTCATTTCCAGCATGTAATATAATGTATCTAAAATATATTAGTTTTAAATTTTATAGTGCAAATTGTGTAAAAGTACATACCTTTTACCATCTGTTTTAATAGCTTTCACGCTTTTTTGGTTTCCATTTTGCCAAGAGCGACCTATGGTCCCATTTTGAAATATCCAAGTTTCATCGAGGAAGACAAACTGGTATAAGGCCTCAACCTTGGCTTGATTGTATTGCCTTAGAAATTCCACCCTTTTCAAAGCTATACTTGGTAGTTCCATGAGCCCTCGTCGCGGATTGTCCTTAAGCCACTTAAATCCAAGATCTCTAAGCAACCGCCTTAAAGACGTGGCACTACCATCAAATAATGCCCTATCTCTTAATCGAGACCATAAAGTTTGTATCGTAACTTGTTCTTCTGAAACCATGTGTAATATGACATTATAATTTAGTTAACAAATTAATGCAAATTTCTGATAAGTTATTATAATAAGATCTTACTTTTGTGATACATATTATAGATCACTTCTCGAATGGCACTTGTATCCAATGTCGCTGTGTTGGTTACACGTTTAATATAACTCCGCTTTTTCTTGGGCGATTCTAAATTTGCATCACTTTTCACACCCTCGGAAATACGACTAACTGTCCTTAAACTAATTTTTAAAGCAGCAGCAACACGCTACAAAAAATGAAATAAAATTTCACTATTATTAATATACATTACATATAATTATTAGTAACCTACCTCTTGAACAGCATTTAAAGGCAACAAAGGCCCGTTGTTGTCCCTTTCTTGCTCAAAGTAGTGCATTAACGAGGCCACGAGTTCCTTACACCGACTATTTAACTGTTTGGGCATCTTTATATACCAAAATTGCCTTTATCTACTCGTAAAATGAATAATTTTGTTTTGGAACAAACAGTTGTTGATTTACAGTATGCGGGGCCAAAGGATTTATAAAGATTTGAAATGCCACAAATTGATTCAGTGTCAAAATTAATACAAATGTCAGTTCCCAGTTTAAATAAGTTTCAAGGTGACAATGTGTCAACGCTGCGAAATCGGTTTAGTGCGTTTACATGTCGATAAGTGATTGGAGCGTTTGCAAAACATTTTATTTCGCATAATGCGTCTAAATTTATCAGAA